AGCTGCTTGCCGGCAAAAATGAGACGCTGCTGATCAGGAGGAATGCCTTCCTTATCCTGGATCTTTGCCTTCACATTTTCGATGGTATCTGATGGCTCAACGTCCAATGTGATTGTCTTGCCAGTCAAAGTCTTCACGAATATCTGCATGCCACCCCTCAAACGCAGAACCAAATGAAGGGTTGACTCCTTCTGAATGTTGTAATCAGAAAGTGTCCTGCCATCCTCCAGCTGCTTGCCGGCAAAAATGAGACGCTGCTGATCAGGAGGAATGCCTTCCTTATCCTGGATCTTTGCCTTCACATTTTCGATGGTATCTGATGGCTCAACATCCAGAGTAATGGTTTTCCCTGTGAGAGTCTTGACAAAGATCTGCATTGTGGCCACCGTCTAGGTTCGTGGTAGGTTCACGCCCGGATGATGAGTAAATGAGCGAGTGGCGAGGTGGATTTTGCCCACAGGAGCGATTTTGATAAGAATATCAATGATATAAGTGTGAAGTGGACGCTTCTGGACGAGGTTTTTTCTGGATGTACACTTTAAGCTGAATGCTGAAGTGCAGGCGGCACAGTCAGAGGTCTAGGCGTCCTCTACCAACGACTAGACCCTATATTTGGAATTGATTAGGAACAAACTTTGGACTACTTTTCGCATGAATATGTTGATAGGCCAGACTACGCGAAAGCAGCCTGTTGGTCGACTCGTTGGTCTTCTACGGGTGGATGGCAGCGCTCCGCGCGGCGCCCTCCCCTGCGCCTACGTGGCAAAGCCGCCGCAGCCAGCAAGATAGTACGGCAGGCCGTCAACCCAGTTTAGGGTAATTCTAAATTGAACAACATAGTTCTGGCCAACATGGCAAGGTGTATAATGTTAGGGCTTTTTTTGCTCAGGCAGTGGCAGACTTCAAAGCTCGCTCAGTGTGTTCTCTCTCCCGGTTTCCCGATGTAGACATTCTTGCAGCTGAGTGCGTCGACGGCTTTTCCAAGCATGCAGCTTCCTTGTATGTTTGGCTGTTTACCTCGTTGGTTCCTCTTTCTTGTATTCATCGTGCAAAAGCAGCCAATTCTACATGGATACTGATGCCATGAGCAAAATTTTTTCGTGGGATGTCTTTAGTTTCTTCTTCTTCCCTCGGCCTAGTTCTTTGCAGCGAAGAGTACCTTAGGTAAACTTTCTTTGCTTTCTCGCGGAACGCTGCTTTGCCTTTCAACATGGTAGTTAGCTAGGCAGAGTGCCAGTACAATTCTTAAGGTTGTCAAAAGAAAGTATTAGACTAAACCGGCAGTGTAGAGTATTCTCTAGTAAACAGCGGTCACTCCGCAGTGTCACCCGAGGGTTCTGTTATCCTCAGCGTACATAAATATGATAAAGGCAACCAGCGAAAGAACTTGAGAGCAGCTGCTCACCCTTAAAGCACTCCTTCGGGATCGGGTAGCATACTCTCAATTCCAGGGCTTTCTTGGACGCTTTCTCTTGACACTCAATCTTTACGGATAAGCAAGCAATACTATTTTCAACTTCTAATAATCACTCAAGAGGTGTCTATCCACTCCAGACTCACTCTGAAGTCGATAGATAACTCTTGAGTGCTTATTAAAAGAGCTTTCTTCCTTCCCTACCGCTTCCCTGAATTCCTGGAATGAGAGGGAAGAATAGCTAGCGTAAGTGCTACTGCACCCTCAAAGCACTTCCAGCATTCTCCGCTCGTTGTACATAGCATGTAACGCGCGCAGCACGGTGTCTACTTGCATGGAGCCAATGATCCTCTACAATAAGTAAACTGAAAGAAGAGACAATTCGATCAGTCAATTCTCGTAATTCGATATACTTAAGGTGGCAGAGAATACCTGTAGCAGGCTAGATTACACTTGAATACTTCACTAATTCTTCGTTAAATATTACTAGTGTAGTAGAAAGAATTCAGAGATTGGTTTGCCTGATACACTTTATTTCTTGGATTGTACTATTACCTTCGGACAAGAAGACGCAGTGTGCATGTTCTTCATGTACTAGGTGGAACTGGCTGTGCATGCTCGGAGTCCTAAGAGGGGGCAGCCACGCGCACCCTAGCAGTCCCTCTCGCCTGATGTTGGGAACTATTAGGGACTCGAGCAGGGGAAGGCAGGAGTTCTCTTACACAGCACTCAACAGCTTTATATTAAGTTCGCATTGTGTCTGGAGTCAAGTGGTTTTCTGAGCAGAGTTATAGGGATCACTAGATTGCTCAGGTGTGGCTCGGCACGCTACACAAAGGTACAGGAGACTGTGAGCTCGGGCACTTGTAGTAGGATAGTAACGAAGAACTTCGTGCATGGCTAGTCTGTTCGTTCGAGATGGTGACCCCGTTTTCTTGGTGGAGAAGGCAGCTCTGTATCCTCCATTGGATCCGTGATTACAAAAATTTAGAGGTTTATTGGGGGGATCACCTCCTGCGAGGCTGCATTTAGCTCAAGGTGCTGGTTAGACGATAACAAATGCTCCGTTTGTTGAGTGTTACGTCCAATTTGCTCGAGCTTCCTTTCACCATCCTTGCAGTGCTCAGATGCGGAGATGCGTTTACGTCCACGTAGAATGTTCAGTACAGCATTAATCCCGCTACGGGCAAACCATTTATGGAGGCGATCATCATCGTTTGCTGTGCAAACGTGGTATCACCTCACGGAGTAAGCCATGCGAAACACTGCTGGGCTTGACTAGCTACTCGGAGCGCAGTTTCCCCTTGTTGAGCAGAGAGGGAACGTACATTGAAGGAATGCAATGTAAATTTTCATATCGATTCTCAAGCCCTCAATATCATGGAATTGAGTTATGCTGTGAGCTAAGAAAGTTTTAGGCAAAACGATGATAGTGCTTGCCATTATCCATGTACACGAAAGTACTGAGAAATATGTGAGAAAGTTCTTAGATGTAGATTAAGAACCATACTCATTGTTTTATACTTCCTGGTTGCATCATTGTGGTGGTTTTGCAATGTCAGAACAGGGCCATTGTGGCAGACAGCTGTGCAAACTAGAGGTATTATGATTTCGTTTTCTGATTGTACTTGTCGTTAGCAATCTGGCCTTTTGAAATGCCTAACGAAAATATTAAAGAGAGAACTGTTTGAGAATTTATTTACGCGACACCAAAGGAATGACGGCAGAAGCGCCTTGCACTGGCCTCTGTTGGTTAACTATGATGCGCCAGGGAGTAGCGTTCATGATACATCACACGCATGAACGCAAAAACATAATGACCACTATGGCCATGCTTTGGCTATTCTGTCACACGCATGTAGCAAATACCTACGGTGCTACTGGCCCCAAAAGTTCAATTTCTGGAAACTGAAAAGTCCCAACGCTTCGAAATCAGATGCTCTCTGTAGTTGTAGTACAGCTTTGGCGCTATTGTTCCAAACAGGGTTGGCAGCTTCATCTTAGACAGCTGTCGCATGGCCAAGCGGCTTATGAATATAGATGTAAGAACCTCAATCTAAGGCTTTGGGGTCTGGGGGAAGGGGGGAGAAGTGCTGTCGTGGCGCTTTTGATTTGCTGACACCGCTGTGTTTACGAGTTGATGTGTGCGCTCCTATCCAAGAAATGGTCGAGTTCTCCCATTTAGGCTGCACTTTAAGCTATATGTAAACAAAAGACGGCTAATTGACGAGCGAGAGCAACGGTTTCAACCTATGTAATAAGTCCTGTCATATAGTATGCAGGTGACCCTCACAGTGCGATTGGGCTCGGGAAGTTCCCCTGCTAATATGGGCGAGGCTTTTGCCCACAGACTAAACAAATGATTTGGTATTTGAGATGCTATTGTAGCTTTAAAATGAGCGATGAAGGCTGCAGGGGCCTCGTGGTCGCCTGTTTCTGGCTAGCGAGACGCTCCCCCATGTGGGAAGCCTTCTCAGCGCGAAACGCTACTCATTTAAGGAATTTCGCGAACCTTTCCCCCAATCATACTGAATAAATGTTTTTAAAGCAATGTTTATCCTACAGCAAGCTTCTTGGTTGGTGATTCGCAACACCTTGGTTTGCGCCGGTCCATACACGCCTTGCCGCGCATGGAGCGGGCCAACCCAAACTGTAGCGCTCTTTAGTATCGTCCAAGTACCAAGTCCTGACCTCTAAATCCGAGGCGCAATTCGCTGAAGACCAGCCGCCTCTCCTCCAACACCGATGGGTTGCTTTCCACACAATTCGAAAGCGGCAGCACAGTGCCTTTAGGAACCAGCAGTCGCCGAGTACGAGAACGCTGAAGTTCCCCGAGCTCTTCCCTTAATGCGGTTTTAGGCTCTCATTTTAGAGGCATAGACGTGCTTTGTGGCCTGCGATCTCTCGGCGGTAAGAGAGTAAGGTCTTCGAGCAGCTGAGGTCTGCAGCACTACCTGCCTCGAGAGCTCCTATGAACCAAGCCAGATCTGGCAGACTCTTGGAGGGGCTTCATCTGGCCAGAGCACGAAAGCCATGGAACCAAGAGTCGCAAGGAAAGAGAGGCCAGAAGGAGCCCTCTCCCCCTGCCTCACCGCTACTCCCACGCAGCACTCCCGTTTCCTTTCTGCCCGCCAGCAGCATTACCACGCCGCGCACTTGCTGCCCCCACAGCATGCACTGGCAGGCCATGAGGCCAGCCACGCCTTCTATGCGCAGCACCACGGGGCCCCCGGGCGGGCATATGGCCATCAGAGGTACTTTTGCGGGGGCCCCCCGGAGGAGGCAGAAAGGCCTGTCCACGGCCCTCTTATGCAGCAGCAGCAGCAGCAGAGGTTTCCAATCCAGAACCCTAGCGGCACCTCGGCCCCCTACCACCAGCCCAGCGAGGCACATTTGGTGCGTCTGCACCCTCCGCACACGCACCAAGTTCCCCGCTTCGCGGCGATCCTGCGTGGATTTGCAGTTGCCCAGTCGTTGACTCTGAAACAGCTCTCGTTGCCTTCTGATTAAACTGCCGCTGAAACTGCGGGCTTCCTGCTTCCTCTTTCCTGCAGTGTTGCTGCCGGGCCGCCTGTGCCTCTCCGGCCGACTGTGCCCTCATAGTTCGCGAACCCGAGGTGTTACTAGCGCCTTCCTAGCAGGCTACGCTTCTCCCTCACCTTGAATGGTTTCGCTCCTGCACCACTGCTTGCGCGTCGTGGGCGCCTCAGGCGTACCCCACGCACGGGGATCCATGCTGCCCCCCTGGATCCCAGTTGCTTCCAATACTCCCCGGCTCGCACGCGCCCCTCATGGCGCCGCCAACTCCCTCCTGTGGAAACGGCTGGGCGACTGGGGTGTACCGCACTGATGGGGGGCCCTCTGGACGCCCTTTCGACTTGGCGTCTCGCCTGAGCGCCTGCAGACCGGGAGAGGTCCCCGAAGATGAGGAAAAGGACGAGCCGGACTCAGATGTTGAAGATGAAGAGCACCCGTGCATTTCCCCCATCGTGAAAACCTGGTTCAGAGCCTTTTTTCCCAATACGCCGCCTTTCGTGTGGTTCTTCCTTCAAGTCTTCGTTTGCTTCCTGCTCCTCCTCATGGGCCTGGAAAATGTCTCGGCATCAAAAGCCGACTTCTTCCTTGCGCGGGCGCCAACCAACTGGGCACCCACCACACAAGACGCGAAGCCGAGGCTGGAAGTGGTTAGCTTAGCCGCACAAGCTGTCCTTTGGCCCCTCACACCCCTAACCCGCACAGCGCGATGCCTGTCCTCTGCATGTCGGTTTGCCGAGCTGTCGTCTCCGAACAACAGGGACCCCAAAGATCCAACGCCTGAGCCACGCCTTCCCAGACGCGGGATGCGGTTTGCCGAGACGAGAAGCGCTGCGTCTGCACATACGCTATGGCTCTCACGTGCCTCCCTTGTTGCTCGCAGATCGGCGAAATCAGCAGCCACGCGTTGCTGCTTAACGGATCCACCGCCTTTTTCCAAGTCGCCGCTCTGAATATCGGCTTCTTCCTCTGCTTCATGCTCGCGAGGTGCGGTCGACGCCCCTGCAGCGGCAGCGGGAACCCGTCAGCAAGGGCACTCCCAAGCGAACGCTCACCCCGAGCCGAACAGGCAGAAACAGCTACATACGAGCTCGCTAGCTCCACACAGACACACACATGCTAAAAGCGAATGCGAAAAGCCGCCTGGAGTACAAATCCCCTCGCAAGTGCCCTGCCAAGTCTTTGCGCCCTGGATTACAAAGCATCATTTGTCATGAATAAAAACGCCGCCTCTACAAAGAGGCTAAGCAGTATACAGAGTAGACGATGGCCACCGCTTTGCCATGCATGTCTCAGCTTCTGAACTATCTGTGTGCTGCCTGCAACAAATACAGAGTTATCGTCATTCTCGGGCTGCTGCAAGCGGTGAAACACGGGATGCCAGCGGCAACGGCCTTCGCAGCAACCATCGACCCCGAAATCTTTTATGTTCCTTGGAGTATTTTCGTCTACGTCTGGTGGATGGGCAATGCCAAGGAAAGTGCGATACATGGTTGCTTCTACTGTAAAGAGTTGAGGATCAACAGGCAGGCCCTGCCTTTGCGAAAGCCTGAAGACTTGACGGGATGCTGCCTTCCCCGCAAGGCTACGCTGTTGTCTCCTTCTGCCGCTATTGCTGCTCTTGCTGAGATTCCGCGTAGTGTCACACTCTCTGTGTCACTGCTGAGGCTGTAAGGGTGTCTGTTGCTACCGCAGCAGTGGCTGTCGGCACAATGCCTCGCGCATTGTGATACTGAGATCGCTACAGTCATCTGTGTGTACTTGCAGGCCACTTTCTGATGTTCTCCAAGACGGCAGAGGACCCTCCAGAGCCTCTGATGCATTTCGTTTTGTTGGGCCCTTCGTTGCTCTTCACGCGGTCGCTGCTGCGCGTAATTCAGACCACTAATATTGTACTCATGGTACTTGCAGTGCGTCGTTTGCTGCTTGCCATCATGGTCTTTTGCTTCGAGCTCGGGTTTCTGATGAGCATGAACGCGCAAGTTGTCAATTACCTGGAGAGGTTATCCACAGTCAGGAAGCTCAACGCCAAATGGCTTGCCAGCGTGTAAGGTGCTGTACTGCTGCTTCGCCGGCCGGGCTGTGGTTGCTGGTTCGCGTTGCGTGGTTGGACGATTCCTACGTGACCCCTCCCCTTTCGGTGTGCCCCCCTTCTAAGGAGTTTCCTCTGCTTGTTGACTTCCCACAGCAGCCTTCACATCCAATCTGACGCCTAGTTTCGCGCTTCCTCCAGAGGGGCCTCTGCAGAGGAAACTAGTTGCAAACAGTTTGTCGCACAGGTGCACGGATGCAGCCTGCTGCGTCTTTGTGCCTTCTGATGTTCGTGTCGCCCAGCAAGTGCCTCTCTCTCGTGCTATGCGTAGGTCGCGGAGAAGGAATAAAGAGGCTGTTGAGGCGTCCACAGACGGGCGCACCTTCTTTGCAGATGTGCCGGAATTCGAGGGGTGTGTGCTGCAGCCAGAACACTTGCAGGGGCAAGAACCAGCTCAGCAGCACAGGCAGCAGCCCCCCAAAGCAGAGAAAAGCGCGGCTCTGTATCAGCTGGACAAGACTGCTGCCGTTTCTCTGGACCCCTGCGAGGCTCAACCTAGGGTTTTCCTACCGATGGCAGCATCAAGTCACTGCTTTTCCCTACAGGGAGCAGGGCACCACCTGCAGCATCAGCACCACCTTCACAACCCCGCCAAGACAGAACAACACAAGTCTTTGAAAACGGGGTTTCTGAAGCGCGTCAGACGCGGGTACAAAGCTTCGTTATGCAGCGCAATTCCTTTCCCCCCTATCCACGCGAGTCTTTTCCCTGCGCACCACACCCAAGCCGAGGCGCTAGGGCGCTACGAGTCTTGACTGAGGCACGTAGCTGCCATTAGATGGCAGTATGCTGGTCGGAGACAGCGCTTCTGTCCCTCTAAATGCCGCTCCTGCTTCCGAAAGGTGTGTGCCTGCCTCCTTGCAGCCTAGGGCTTCCCATAAGAGCCCTCTGCAGGGCCTTCCGGCTGTTCGCCGCTGTGCCGCAGCAGCGGAGGTTGTTGCAGCGCGGCGTTAGCAGGGAGGAACGGCGGTCTGAGGGAGTGAACTCATTCTGCGGGGACGGCTTCTTCTTTCTCCCCCAGAGTCTGAACGGGTTTGTGAGCCGAGCCGAGCGACTGCAGGAACGAATGGTGCAGGGCACAGGTATGAAGTTGCGAGCTCGGGGGAACGTCTTGTGGCAATTTCCCGTACCGAGTCTCCACGACCCGACCCCTAGAGAGATTTTCGTATTTCACCGCAGGGAGCGCGGACGGAGGGGGAGCTCCTCGAAGAATGCAATTGATCCTGGCCGCATGCCCGTGCTCCGTCTCCCCCTGTCTGTTTGCTGCCGGCTTCCCGCAGTCAAAAGTCGCCTGTGTGCTGAATGCCTCCGTCCGTGTGCCTTGTCCTCTGACGCGACTCAGGGAAACCTTTTGTTGCCCGATGGCTGTGTTTGCAGTGCTGCCAGAGCCTTTGCGCCCCAAAAGCATCGAACAAAGCAAAACCTCGCAAATAAGAAACTGGCTGAACATTCACTACTGCCTGGACTTCCCGCCGACTATTTTTCTGTACGGGAGGCGGCTGGACCTGACAAACAAAGAACTGGCGCGACACGCTGCCTCGTTGCTCTTCACGGAGATCCTCAAAGATGCGCAGCGCACCGGCAAACCGCCGAGGCACCACCCAAGGAGAAAATACTCAATGGAGCTGCAAACGTTGAGCGAAACGCACCAATACCATGGCAGAAGCCTAGAAGAAGCAGAAACAAGAGGTCTGTCTCCGCAGACAGGCGAAGGAAATACATCTGGTGTCTTCGACGCAGCGTCTACCACCCACCCCTCCCAGGGGCAAGATTGCACTGCGTCTCCCCAAGACCAGAAATCCAGCGACTACGTGCAGGGGCCCCTGGGAGAGCATCCTTCACAACGGCATCCACGAATTCTACTGAAGGCTTCTGCGGACTGCGAAGGCACAGAGAGGCACTCAGTTTTTGGATGGCCAAGTGAACTGATGGACCCGACGCCGAACCCCACAAGCCAAGGAGGCGCTTCGACTGCTCCGAAAGCAACGAAACAGAGTCGCCAGTCTCCGAGCACGCGAGGAGCTGCCGGGAGAGCAAGGGGGTTCCGGAGCTCCACAGCGCAAGAGCAAAGAGACACAACCAGTGCCAGCAACAGCAGCAGCAGTCGTCCCTCGCAGCTGTGCGATGGCGCAACGCCCTTCTCCGAGCCAGAAAGCAGCCAGTGTACAGCAGCAGGCAGCGAAGTGCGAGCCCTCGAAAGAAATGGCAACGGTCCAGTAGAGCCTTGCCGGCTTGGGGATTCCAAACAGCAGGTCGCATCCAGCGCCTCAGAACAACCCATTAGCCCTCTTGCGCAAAGCACTTGCTTCCTGGCCGCCCACGAACGTAGGAACGCGCCCAAGAGTTGCAGCACCTCCAGCGGCGAAATGAGTTCCGCAGAGGAAGACTGCAAAGGACAGCCGATCAGCAAGCCGCCGAAGGCGTGCCAGGCTTTTGTTGGGCAGCGCGTGCAGGGAAGGCCCATCCTTAAGCGGAAGCAGAGAAGGTATCTCTTTGTGCGGCGGTGTCTGCATGCGCGCGGCCGGGCAAGAGATGATAAAGAGGATTTTAAAGGCCCGTCATCAGACAAGCCACATGGGAGCCAGGAGGGAGATCCCTGCATTCGGGGACCCCTTGCATCGAGCTTGCATGCAAGGCAGCCAGCGCACATCCCTTTGCATGCCGAAATCCAGGCAGCAGATGCTCCTCCTTTCTCTGCAACGTTGAGGAAGCGCCAACCGCGGCATCCTTCTTCGCTGCAGCACCCGGAGACAGCCAGGAGCTGCTCGGTAGAAACAGCGGTCGGTTCGTCAGAGTCAAAGACCCATCAGGACGGACTGTGGACCGGAGGGGTATGTGATCTTCCCAAAGAGCCAGAGCGCGCAAGACCCGGCACAGAGGAAAGCCACAGGAAAGCGAAGATGGAAGCCTCCAAGGAAGTGACAAAGGTCGAGCCCACAATGTTGATGCGCGACCCTTTGGATGCTGCCGAAGGTGAAGCACCGGCTGAGGCGCACAGGGAAGAAGAAAAGTTCTTAGGGCGAGAGATCCTCGAACAGTACCTCCGGCCAGAAGAGGCAGAGGAGTTCATGAAACACACTGACCTCGCCGGTGCTTTTTCACATCGAGCTTAAAGCCTTTAACCTCTGCTAGTTTGCTTCTTGATGCACGTTCAAGTTTACAAATTATGTCCCAACAACACTTGGCAACCAGCCGCATCTGTGACTGCGACCCTGTGCGTTTCCTTTTAGCTGCTCTCTTTCTGTGTTACCTGAATCGCCTCAGCTTAGAGCGTTCGGTAGTTACTTTTGCGTGGCACTCACCTCTACTTTCAAAGCCCATCGTCACATGTTCATTGGCTGTGATCTGCTGTGACTCATCGTATGTGGCTGCCTTGCATCTTTCTACGTTTTTTCGGCTTGGCTTTCCAGGACACGGAAAGATCAATGACTTGATGTTCCAGAGGGCAGTTCTGCACATTTACAGTCTCCGCAAACGTCTCGTGCGGGCGCTTAAGGTAAAAGGAATACCAATGCCATTTTCCGCTTTTCTTGGCTTAGTGTGCGCCGTCCAAAAGGGGTACAAATCATCCGTGCTTGCGGCATCTACAAGAAACATCAAAGAGTCTGTCGTCCGTACCACTGATGATGCGGTAGTCAGAATTCATGTTCATGGGAGACTGTGATCATAGCGAAGCTGCCACCCACAGATCAAGCAAATTTAGGAGGAACTCAAATAGGGAAGACGTTCCCCAACCCAAAATATGCTCCACACATGCTAGAAATGGCTTTCCAATCTTACCTTCGTTGCCAGGCAATGCTGGTGCTAGTCCTAGGGCCCATATGTGTTACTCTACTTGTGCTTTACTGTGTGCATCCAAAGTCGTAGAATAAGGCTTAGGCTGTAATGGCTGTAAAATTACACAATAGGACTACAGAGCAAAATACGCTTGTCATTCGTTCCTTGCTGTTTGTGTGTGCTGGTCTCACAGAGTCAAGCGAGCATCGCGTCGACCGTGTTGCGAATGATGTCCCTTTTGCTTTGGTTTGTAACCATGATTGCACTTCTTCTTGTAATGGGGATCGAAATGAACACCGTCGTCATGTCTGGGGCCGCATTCCTTTCGGCTATCACAGTGTCACTCAGTAAGGGTCTCACACTGCAGTAAATAACTCATCACACTTTCATGCAAGTGTGCAGCATCCACACACAGCTAAGCGGAGTCGTTTTGCAAGGACGTATGCTCACCTCTCATTCGTGCACGCATATACACGCAGTTCCAACGGGAGATAAGTACTAGAGCAGTATGGCTAATGTACACAGTGAATTTTCTGGCTGCGCTGAGATTCGTACGACGCACAGTTTCTCCTCAGCAGCAACAGCAGCCGCAAGCCTATTCGCTAAAAGCCATTTTGTTGACTTGTATGTACATATGCCAGGTAGAATGCACCCTACATTTTAAAAAACATATGGGGAGTCTCGTGAGGAAATTCTTAGCCGTGTAAAGCATAGTAACCCGTATGCACGCACAAATAGGTACCCTTTGTGAGAATATCGAGATTCTGGATACACACAAGCGTTGCAAATATGCATAAAAACAGGACTGCTGATGCATATACATATGCACGAAAAGGCGCTTTGTAGCACTCATGCAGTTGCTTCCATACTTGTGCAAATGCGCATGCAAACACAGCGTGCATACCTCCATAGAGTTCGCAAAAGCATCTTGTACCTCGCGTTCGTCCATCTGGATCCGTAAATGTTAAGCTTCTTGCATATTTGCCCATCGTATATTTTGTACGTATCGATGTGACTCCACTTCTCTTCGTGTGCATAATATCTGTAAACGTGCCTGCTATCTTTTATTCACGAAAACTTAGAGTGCGACCTCCATAGATTCAAAGACGCACTATAGTTAATGCGTTCAACATGCACTCTTCTATTTAAGTACACAGCACTGTATAGACATCCTTACGCTTGTGGCAATTGAAGTACTTCCAGTTTTGCGTCTGTCCATATACCTGATTGTCTGCTCTTTTCGGCTGTCACTCTATCCCTGCATCCCCATGCTCCTTGCTACCCACTCGTCCATTGCGCCTTTTTCTTTTCCCAGGCTACATCTACCAGCACTTTATTACAGCTGTCATTTTTGTGGCCTTCACAAATCCATATAATATCGGGGATCGTGTGCGAGTGGACGGGGGAGACATTCTTTACGTCCGCCGTATCCGCACGTACACCACAGAATTCGAAAGCATGCATGGAAAGCCGGTAAGGCAAATGGGCTGCAAGCCAAATTCGGGTACTGCGTAGAATGAGCACTAGGTGGCTTGGCACTGGCAATAACACTGAAATCAGTAACTAGTTCAGGCACTTGAAAAGTGGTTCACTCAGAAATATGTCTAGAATAATCGTTTTTACAAGCGGTGCACTAAAACGTTGTGATAAAGGCTAGGCGCGGTAGTGGACTGCAGATTAAAGGCACAGCTCTTACAGTGCACGATGCAATTTCAGGCGTAAAAAACAGCTAAACAGATGTTCCTTGTCGTTGCAAACAGAATATGCATGGGTACGAAGGGCTAAGGTGCAGGGCGCAACTAGCAGAAGAAGTCTGTTGCTGCAGAGGTCGACTAGTACACGAGCAATCTCATATACTAGGTATATGAAGCTTGCTTATTTAATTAAATGGGGCAATACATCACTAGTATAGCTCATGTTCTAGTATCTGGACTTTTTGAGCCCTTTCAGATGATCTACAGCAACGCGACGCTTTTTACCCGCGTAATAACCAATGAATCAAGGGCCAAGGTATCTACTTTTGAGCTGACAGTCTCTGTCAGCGTATACACTGCCCCTGTCCTTCTCAAAGCGCTGGAACAAGAGATGAGAAGATACGTCAAATCACGTGCAATGGATTTTGTCAAGGACAGCTTCCGCATCGTCATCTACGAGGTCCACCCTGGGCACTGCATTAAGGCAAGCAGAAACAGCAGGAATTTTGATGAAATGGGATTCTATGGCTTGAAAGAAATGAAAGTTTACGAGCACTTCGTTTTCCTTGCAAGAACAAATAGTGAAGTTATGTAGATCACAGAATATAGGATACGACTTCGCAGGAGACTAAGGGCATTGTACTGCTTACTTCTTTATTGCTTTCAAATGTGGGAATTGTTATGTAGAACAGCCTTCTTGTTTGAGGTTGTTACTGCTGAAATTCGGATATTAGTTGTTCCTGCCACGGAAGGAAAAGTGCCGTGAACGCCTTTCATTTGTGATGCAGATGGGGATTTGGCTTACGTGTGTGGACGGCTGGGGCAACTGGACGAAAGTTTTGAAGGTGCGTTCCGAGGTGTGCATGTATCTTGTGAAGATTTTGACAAGGCTGCGTATTTCCTTCCATCTTCCTCAACAGCCAATAGCCTTCACTAAAGAGCCCATGAGCTTCCCAGGTAGCAGCATCAAGCACCACCTGGCAGCAGGATAGCCAGCAGAGAATATCTTTTACAACAGAGGGCGGGGAGATCAAACCAATTTTTCAAGGCATGAAGTCTTTACACCTAGCACGGGCCTTACCAAAGTGGACTGTCTCCTGCATCGTGAACACAAGCACTATTAATACGCATGCGAGCAGTTATTCGATTAGCGTACTATCGTTAGGATAATAAACATTACATCACTGGCAATTTATCCATGTCTATATTGTGATTAATGGGATCGCTTCTGGCAAGTCAACTACATGAGCCAGAATTCCGCATGTACCTACATGCATGTGACCTGCCCGTACTAATTGGGCACTTCCCTAAAGATGCCTTTCCGGTAGCCAATAGTGTTTCTCTCAAGTAGCCTTCACCACACTGATATAGCCACTCTGCACTTACAGCATTTTTCTGCTGTCAACGCAAAGTTTGAGGCCGTGCCCAGCTACTCCACTACACAGTTTCTCCTAAAGGCTTGTAATGGGTGAGTTTTTGAAGGGTTCTCACAACCAAAAGCTGTTGAGCCCAGGTGGCTGTGCTAGATAGTAAAAAACCTTCAGGTGTTGTCTGTTTGAAGCGTGGAAGGAAACGAGCTCGTGACATAGCCATGCACCTCTCCAGGGTACGCACGCACTGGCACTAAAAGAGAGCCTATAAAAGTCAACTGCAGGTCGATATCGGGGCAAGACTCGTTATGATCAGTGCAACGAGCCACCCTGCCAGGTGCCCATTGCTAGCTTGCCGCCAGGGATGTGGCTGGGTGGCATTTTTAGGCCTTGGTGGGGGCCTTAATGATGTCAACGAATGCTTTCTTAAGGGACGCTCCGCCCACCAGGAAGCCATCAACATCAGGACACCCAATAAGGGTGACGCAGTTCTGATCTGTCACGGAGCCGCCATACACAATGCGCAGCTTGTCCGCTACCTCCTTGCTCACGCGCTCAGCCAGATACTTGCGGAGGTCCTGAAGGACGAAGTGCGACAACACTACGCATAGCATATTAGTGCGCCTGCACAAGCATCTTCATGCAGTTCACACTATGCACTCTTGAGACATATGTGGCAACTATTCGTATGGCATGTGCTCAAGCGAGCCTGGCATGTCGGACGTAGCAATCCAGAGTACTGGAACATGTGATGACCACAGAGAAACAGCGCACACAAAAATTGTGCCTGCGAGGTATACGGCAGCACCATAAAGTTTCGCCATGTAAAAAGTGTTACTAGAAGCCGGACTGTTCGCCACAACACAGATGCACGCGTACATGCACACACGCACACATCCACACAACCGATGCACCACACAGGCATGAGAGACACGAGGCCTTAAAGAAAGTAAGCCGCAGCCCATATGGCCTACAGACGGTTGGCAGAAGTGCCGTACATGCTGTATTGCATCTCTGCGTGTCGCCATTGCGCCGAACATATGGCACTGGGCTACGAAAGAGTCACTGCAAGCACTCTGCTGTGTACACAGCCTAATGTTTTTGTTGACTTGGCAAGTCGACATGAATTTTAGAGCGCTCGCTTAGCATGCAAGAGGTGAGAGAGCGGATATACCCTCGTCACCCACTTCTTCCGAGTGCAACAGGCCGTCATGAACCATGGAGAGAGCAATGTTCAGAGGATACAGCATCTTGCTGTTTTCCCTATCGAATGTAAATGTGCAACCAATGGCCCCCCTCTCTTCCGTTCCATGAAACTCATGCAAGTCAAACTTACAGCGTGCACCTCCTGTGCCTGTTCAGGTGTTGCGACTTTGCCTGTGCCAATAGCCCATACAGGCTCATATGCGATCACCACTCTTCCCCAGTCCGTCACTTTGGGGATAACGGCGTCCAACTGCGTCCTGCAGACCTCCATCGTCTTTCCTCCCTCGCGCTCCTCCAGCATCTCCCCAATGCAAATCTGCGACGGAAGGTTTCAAGCCGCGCGGCGAGACTTCATCGGCACGAGATTTTATGTAGGTGGTGACAACACGGACGCCTTCACAGTTCTGTTTGGCGATCGCCGTGCTGCCGGCGGTAGGAGAGTCACTTACGGCGACATGGAGTCCATCTTCTTTCATGATCATGCCAACCTTCTCGGCAACCACCTGGTTCGTTTCGCCGTAGTACTGCCGACGTTCACTGTGGCCTACCAATACCCACTTAAGGCCAAAATCCTTAGCCATCCCGGCTCTGCAAATGAAGTAGAGGCACAATAGTGGGTTCTGTACCTAGGTTGCTCCCCAGAAACGCCCTGCGCTGTCTGGCGAGACACGGTAGGGTCTAAAGTCAAGCATGCAGAGAAACATAAGAGCCATGTCAGGCAAGAGGAAGCGGCATCGCGGAGGGAAAATATTCTGCACACGTCCTCTGCCTACTGCGATCCAGATGTGCAGCTTGTGCATTGATGATACATCAACCGGTGACCTCGGGGGGGGTGCAGGTTTGGCACTCGAGGCTACGTGTGATAACGCCTGGCTAGAACGAAAACTGTTGCGCCCCTTTTGCACGTTAAATAAAACAGAAGAAGGCTGACTGAGCCAACAGAATAAAAAGCAAAACTTCGCGGAGGCACGGAGACAGCAAAGGAAGAACAGTCTGGGAGCAGAAGGGGAGGCCTGAAGGGCGAAAGACTGGCGATGATGCCCTGCTATCTCACGTGATCTCGCCAGTGTAGGCGCCGGGGCCTGTCTTTGAAATGTTTTGACAACCAACTTGAAAAGCACCATTGAGCTTTTCCTTGGCCAGATTGATGTGCAGCGCTACGGGGAAAACAACCACTTCTGCATCGCAAGAAGAGCAGCCCGCCAAGTATGTGAGGATGGGATGCCCCTCAAGACGAATGATCGCGAAGCATACAGCCAGTAAAGAGGCAGTGCAACACGACGGGCAAGAGGAAGACCAACAGATTTTGAATCTATCTACGCAAGAACCCGCGGGCTTCACGCTGGGCTTACTTAAAACCCTACACAGGCGATGCCGCGGGGTGCCAGTGTACGAATTTCCATTTTCTACCCAGAAACGCGGCTAGAATAACACTGCATCTCTCGGCAACGCGGGCACGAAACAACAAGGCATAATCGCTGATGAGGGGAGGCCAGCATTCGCGTGTGCAGAAAAGGCACCACCATGAAGTTCACACACACTCGCTGGAAGCTAGGTCAGAGTCAGTAAATCCATAAGGCACACTTGGAGTAACCATGCGGATACCCAATACGGATTCGCGATCTCATGAATTAGTGTGTGCATGGCCCAAAGCCTAGTACTTTGGTCCGGGTTTCTCGCACCGTGCTAGTATTTGAAAGGCCAGAGCAATGCAGAAGATAAGGCATCTCAACTCTTTTGAACAAGCAAATACAATTACGAACCTCATTCGGTAGCTCTTTGGTGAAAGATGCCGTGGGGTTTTGATGCGGGCCTTCCACCGCACGCATATACCACCGAATTCCAGACGCAGCGAAATAATTGTGCTCACCAGTTTGCTTAGGGTCAAAGTTCGCCTGGTTCAGCTCCTTGGCGAGCTCGGTGATGGAGCAAACAGTGCCATTGGACTTCCAGTTTCCGCCTACCCAGGGTGTGCGTGCCATTTTGAGCTTGCGGCAGAAAGGGTGTGCACGGGGTAAAACGCTGTACTTTAGCGACGATAAATCAGAAATAATTCCACAGCAATGCCACCTGAGCATGGCAAGGCCTTGGTTGTCTCCTCAGGAATGCGAAGAAGGGACAACAGGTGCAGAGTAGCCCACCACACTGTGGTCCTTCCGTCTCCGGGGGCTGCATGCGGAGATCTGTTACTTTCTCCGCTTTAAAGGCGCAAATACTATCGACGACATGATCGGATTATCATAAGAGCTAGAAAACGTGGTGGTGTCAAGCTGCTTTAGCCCATAAACGTGTTAGACTCTTATGGGGGGAAGTTCTACTTAAAGATAGAACTGCTGAGCTCCGGTCTGACACGATGTTGTTTACGCGTGTTAAGATTCTCCAAAGCGCGTGAATTGCATGAGCTACGTTATGCCTACGGACTGCGCTTCTCGGCCAAATCCTGGATCGGTGTGTGAATGTCCCCTGTCCTCAGCCACCCAAACAGTTTCACAGAGCTGATTTGCCAACAAGCGGGGCGAAGGCATGGTAGGATGCATGAGAAAGCCAAAGCGATTATTACCCATCGAACAACACTGTGGCTAACAGCAAGCGCTGCCGTAAGCAGTATGGACCCGCATGAAAAAACATTGAGCGCATGGTGCGAAGAATGCATCTTTGCCTCCAAGTTACACCAGCGCGACCTTAGTAAGAGTAAAGCATTTCGCAGCACTGAATAGTTGATTCGTGCGTAACGGGCATGTAGCGTGAAAGCATGCCCTGACCAGATACTTCTGAATGCCCTGCTGGCAACTTACTGTAACGCTTCGATTAAGATTTCCGTAGAAAGACACTTCACTCCAGACTTGATACAAACCCACTAGAAAGTTCTTCAGTGTAATTTAAAGGAAACATTACCGCGTTCCCCTCCTCGGCCCCCCAGGAGTTTGCGACTTGAGGCGAGAGGGACGGTTAGAGTGCGCGTAGCTGCACCTTCTGTGCAGTGGGAGCAACCACGACTAGTTGCACGTAGCATCTTGCGCAGGCGCAAACATCACTGCGTCTTCTTGTGCCAATATATTACTACTAAGCAGGAAAAAGAAAGAGGAGGGTGTGGGAGTGTTGAACTCTAGCAAAACAAGACTCTGTACCTTCCATCATTGATTCACATGTTCGCGTGATAAATAACATTTAGATACAGTGTATACAATGCAGCTGTGAGTGAAAGCATAAGTATTTGTCAACTGCTTTTGTAGACCAGATGCAGTGGTTACGCTACACTCAGTCGCTATTTTCTGCGTTTTTTACATTTAATTTTTCATAAGTAAAATGTTGGCTCAGTGGTTCGCCTCAATATATCTTTTTTACTGCGAAGGTACTGCTGGCTCGACTCTCGTCACCGTAATATTGTCTAAGTGCGTGCTTGACTTGATGTTCAGCTGGCTGTGAATGATCACAGGGCTTAATTGGCGCAGTAACCCTCACCCTAGCTGCTCCTCTTCCTTAACGCTGGAACCACGAGGAGCGAGGGAACGGGAGGGAAAGAGGTTGCTTGAAAGGAGTCAATAAAATTCTTCTAGGGTTTTATTGAGTCTGAAGTGAAGTTCTCTTTTGTTGACATCCTATGTGGAGCGCTACACCAGCGATGGCCTCTAGCGGACACTTCTATTGTCAGCTACATGGAGAGTGCGCCACATATATGTAGATCTGTATGTAGGTCTACTTCTATGCATTCGATTGACAATTCCGACCTTCATTCACCTACCTTTTGCTTTCTCTGAAAGAACGCACCTTGCACTCCGGCGTTTGAAGCGGTTGCAGCCACTTGCAAGTAGTACATTCGATCACTTATGCCATGGCCTCTAGCGGCACCGTTCCGAAGGCACTTCAAGCAGGGGAGCCTGAAGGTCTGCGTGCTGGCGGACTTTCACCAATGCATTGCAAATAAAAAGAACTTATAGCGTCAAGTAGCCCATGTCTTTGTTGCCAGAAGCACATAATTGAGGCAGAGATTAATCGAAATACATGAAGAGGCATATTTTGCTACGTAGGAGATCGTTGGCATAAGACTATTATCTGATTATAAGATGCTCTCAGAGGACCATGCCATGCGTGTTTGGCACCCTAATGCACTTAAAAGCAACTATGCATGTCACGACACAAAAGAAGTATCGATGGCAGCAACACTGCACTTACCTCTGCAGGCAGGTTTAGTCTGATACATCTGTGTGTTGTTCAAGAGCAGCGATTTGTAACATAATCCGGACTAAACGAGCTCTAAATGTATCGAGCTGAGCACTAGTAAATAGACCTGACTCTAAAAGCCTCGTTTTTCAGGGCGCAGACAGATAAAGTATTCTCGTTAGAGGCTAATTGAGCTTTCGCATGAAGAGACTAAAAGGAGAGCCTCTACTTTGCTATCCGACGACATTCACAAGTGCCGTTTTAGTAGATCCCCCAAAGGTGTGCTTGGCCACCAAAGTGTCCGTATAGTTTATTTGTGACTGGCAGTGCTTTCAAGTTCCGGGTCTGAAGGCCTCGTAAAAAGCTTTTATGTCGGCATCCGCCGAGGGGTTGCCGGTGTAGATTACTCCGGCCACATGGGTTCGGGTTTGAAGGACCTCTGACAAGTTAGGGGGGGAAATGCAATTAACGGCAGAGAGTTCAGAATACGCAGCATTTAGCGCCAAGGAATTCTTCCCGAATACCGAAGGGCAAGGGTTTGGTAGAGGTGCTACTTTAGGTTCATCGTCGTCACTGTAGTCTGGGCTTTCGTTGGGACAGCTGTGTATTGGATGGTCACTCGGTATCACTGAAGTACAAGAGTTGCTCTGCTGTGAAATAGAGTGTACTTTACTGGGTATCACTGTGGCTGTCAAAGGCTCTTTTGAGGTGTGCTCAGAAGGTCGGTCGGTAGAGCTGGGCATCCGTGGTGTTGTTGAACGCTGGTTTTGTGTATTATCGACGACCCATGGGTAACCAGCACTGTGGGTAAGCAAAGGTGTAATTGCTGGTGGGGCGATTGTCGTGAAGTTCCCCAGGTATGGATCTTCCACGGTATGTCCGTGTTTCTGGTGGGAGGTGCACGGATTAAAGCCCTCTGTGCCGTCGGTATTTTGGGCTCTGCCAAGCTTACAACAATCTTCTTGTTGCACACTACAGCCTAAGCGCTCTATGTACTTTGAAGCAATAACGTTGAACCAGTCTTCAAAATCCTCCTGAAGCTGCTGTCTACTTCTCTCGATTGTCATATGAACTCTCTTGAGTTCTCTCTTCGCAGCACCCAGAGCATCAGTATTTTTGATGTATTCATCTCGCCAACTTGCAACTTCTTGAAGTAGCTCTGTCTCTTCAGGTGTATCATCCTCTGGAAGTAGTGGTGCCCCCGTTGCCTGCATGCATTTTCTTATTCGAATCTTCTCCAAATTTGTCCTTGCTTTGGCAATTTTCTCCTTCGCCCTTACGGCTGCTTCACCGTGTTTTTTTGCGTCTGCATAGAGATTATGTAGGCGCTGAGAATCAGCTTCGAGGAATTCAGTTTTCCTTGCGCTACGCCTAAGAATTTCAAACGCACGACCCCTATTCTTGAGCAAGGCTATGGCTTCTGCCCCAGTAAGCCAGGGCATCCCCGCCGCATTAGCAGTACTGTCATGCTGAGGACCCCTGACAGCGGCTTCCACCGCAGCACGCGTCATTGCTCGCAACGGATCACTGGCCTGACAGCGAGCTGACGATTCTGAGCTTTGGTGCATGATCCCTAGCAATAATGCTATTTCTGCATCTCGCTGCTCGACATGGAGCTGCAACCTTTGCAAAGCCTCTAGGCAATCTCGACGTCTACACCGGCCCTCATCACCCTGATGTGTTATCTTGTTAAATTTATCCCGTAATATTCGAAAGCAGAAGTCTGCCAACCGGAGGTCACGCGCTGCTGAGACTGGTAGGTCTAGATCATCCCCAGTAGCCCGAAGAAATCTTTCAACAGAATCTCTGCACCTATCTTTCGCTTGTTCGTCTAGCTCCCCTTGCTCCTCATTCACAGCGGCAACCAGCTGCAACTGTCCACGGAGCCTTTCATTTTCTCTCTGGAGGCGTTCAATCAACGCTGATGTTTCCTCTTCCTCATTTACTGCTGCAACGTTTTTGATTTGGGAGACTGCCTGAGCAAATCTACAAGTGCTTATCGTTTCGTTGATCGCGTAAAGCTCTAGAGCGACCGTGGCAATCATGCACGTCTTACAGTTTCCTCCCAAGGAATCTTTGAGCACCGAGGTCATCAGCGAATTCCTGTATGGCACATGAGTCGCCTGGCCGGCAGCTTTCTGCCGTAGTGCTACAATGACTTGTTCAAGATAGTGGAGACTAAGGTTGATACTACACGCCTCCTGGAATACACAATCGCCTGGCCTTGTACCAGATTGCTTAACCCGCTCAGATCCCGCTAAATCTACCAGGTGCAGTTTTGCCTTTTTCGTGCTGCGGCCTCCGTGCTCTTTGCTGGCTATCCATATTGTAAAGATGCAATGTGATCGAGTAGAGCAGTCATTAAGGGGAGTTTCTGCAATGATGCGATTCGCATCACCCACAAACAAGAGACTGAGTGCCTCTTCTTCCGTACGAATGGGATTCACTGATAGTCCACGAAGGAATACATGATCCGAATCGTCAGCCACGGCGTATACTCGCCTAAGGTCTTCGAGGTTTTTACTTCCCGTCTCTGTTTTAACCAGCAGGTCATACCCGCGATCCTGATAGATTTCAAGGTAAGAGATAGCCAGAGAAAATTCGGCAGTGGAGCAGCTCGAAGAAAATTCAAATACTCTAGCGAGTGCCCGGGGTATGATACCCCGCAGTTCATATGCTTCGGCTCCACCAGTGATTGTGTATGTTTTACCCGTTCCGGTTTGCCCGTAGGCAAAGATTGTACCGTTGATGCCGCGAAGCGCATCATCGACTACGGGGAGTGCCGCACCCTGAAAGACATCTTCCTGCGTTGCATCCTGATCGAAGATACCATCGAAACGAAACTTATACTCTGCTTTTGAATTGTTTAGCGGAGCTTCGTCATCCCTTGGGAGATTGGTGATAAAAGTTCGTCCGTCCTTTCCAGCGACGCGATGCCACTTACAGCTGCCCACCATGGGTCGCATGCGGAGATAGATTTGAATATTACTCGCGCTTGTTATATCTCCGGGAGGTAGTACATATCTATTTTCACCGGAGCCACTTGATTCATCCATTGCTGAAGCCATTGTCCTATTGGAATTCCTCTGGCCTCTAATGTGTAGGAATTCGCACTGTACTTTTGGTCAGCCTCAAGGGACGGTGCTTGATTGCTGAATTTACCAGGGCAAGCTTTACGTCCCACCAGCGTCTTTTTTGCTTGAATCTGGAGGGATCCGCCTGAAGAAGAGCAAAATGGCACCTTTACTACGAAGGGAAGTAGCTAAACTTGAGGGCCTCTGCCTGCTGCCCATATACAACTGAAGTATCCCGTAGTAGATAAAGAATGCTGTCACGGTCAATTGGGAAGCGAATGAGCCCATGCATCCTCAAGGTATTGGACAAATGAAGCTGCATGCCCTGCCTTTCGGGAGGGAGCGAGCGACCGATTCAAATCCCTCAAGCATCGACGCTGTTGTTTTTTGCGAAAACGCACAGCCTGGAGGTCTAATGATCCATATGCCTTCTTCTTATGTTGGTTTATTTCACATTGGGGAGCTTCAGTATACAGTGGAATATGGACAACGCTCTCCGCACGTACAATTTGTGAAACTTTTACATAGCATGAATGATTTACGCTAACTTTCATTTCTTCATGAGCCTCTATGCATATTATTATCAAGTATACAGGTACAGCCGAATGAATTAGTCTTCCATCTACCCTAAAAGTAATGTATGTATGGCTGAGTACCTCTGGAGACAGTGCGCGCACTGGAGACATGCATGACTGACGCCCGCTCAGAATAGTTGGAGCAGTACAAAGGGGAGCGTTAATCCGGCTCCTAGAAGTCACGTGTGGATGATGTAGAACAGCCATCCAAAATGGGATGATGCTGGGATTCCTGTGTTTCAGGGGAGTATCCACAGGGAGGTTTGCTCGACGGAATGCATATGAGTGTAAATAAGTATTAAATAAGCTTGCTTTTCCCGTCTCGCCACTGGAGTCTTCCCAGTTGATCGTTCCTTTGTTTAAATGCCGCTTTGCAGAAAAGTAAAAAACAGTTGGTTCATACAAACGAGCTTGCAATGTATGATCTGGAACCTACTTTGGACGTGTGCCACAACGCCAGTCCTTCTAAACTAACACTGACCGCATTTTTCATAGCTTCGGCTGCCGATTTCAAATCCTATTTTACAAGCATATTTGCTATTGTCACTCTTATTGACGTGATGGAGGCAAGGTAAGCATGATTGGTCAGGCGCAGGGTATTTTTTGAGGATAACCCCATGGAACACCGTTCAGTTGTTCATTCACTTTAGTAAGTTAGAAGGCTCCTTACAGATAAGCTACTCCACGAAGGTCGGGCCATATTCACGGATATATTCAGGGTAAACGTCCATGGCTGCCGGATTCCTGTCAAATGTAGCTGTATTAGTGCTATTCGCTATGCACACGTAGTCCAGCAGCCATTTAATCGACCCCAGCTTGAGTTGTCAAAGATCAGCCACAATTATACTATAACCATTTCAATACATACATATAAAATTCTAATGGTCTACGGTGAATTGCCCAAGCCAGAGTTTCATGCAGACTGGTCGCGCTACCCATACCCTGCATGCGCCACCAACAGCCCCATGTAAGAAAGCAGTGAGAGCCCAGCCGATCATCCGATGCAGTAGAAGTCTTTCGTATAGAGATAAGCCTTGCATTGAAGAGCCATTTTATATCAACATTTTGAGGAAAGATTTGAACTTGTGAAGCTCCCACCCTCACAAATAGCTTACACAGATCATCCCGCCGCCTGTGAAGACAGTATGCCTAATGCACTCATCCGGACTAAATATTTGCTAGGCATTCAAAAATATGCCGTTACACATCTGCTGGATCTGCTTATGTGAACATGTCTCCTAATACGGTGCAGAGCATTTAAACTGCAGCCGACTTCTCGTTACAGGCACTCTTGAGGCTACTCCCTCGGCAGAGCCCGCCCAATAGAGCGCATCTGCTGCCTCGCTGTAGAATGTTTAGGCTTACTCCTATAATGCTCTCTGGGAACACGTAGACCCTAGCAGGCAACAGTAATAGGTTTGTCAAAGTCGTGTTGGTGGGGCTGCAGCCCAGGACAAAACAAAGTTTTTCGATCTCTACATGCAGGCAGAAGAGGAGGAACTGCGGCGTCAGGATAAGCGATGAATAGCACGTTTGAAAAACTTCTAGGAGTCCACGTACACTCACCAATTGAGGCGAGCATTGCTTGGTAAGACCTACTGCATCACGGAGCTCCACAAGGAAAGTCTCCTAGACGGACATTACCGATATAAGCCTCCTTTTCATTTACTCTATTACTCACAGAAATTTCGAGTGCTTTTTGCGGGCTACCTAGTTCGAGGGCTTTAACAATGGAGGACTGCAAATATGAGCGCATTTTCTGCGCGGAGCAGATCAATATCCCACCAAACCTGCCTTCAATTTTGAAGCAGCTCACAAAGGAGGCAAGCAATCACTGGACTTTCTTAATCAGTCACATTTTAGGTTCTAAATCGTAGGAGACTGATCTTATTGGGGTTGTCTCTATCTGCTTTCCCCTGATCACAAGCAGGCCCAAAGGCATCAATGATTTGAGTGTTAAAGCGACTTATGCCCACCTGAATTATGCACAGGTCATCAGGGCGAATCCGACTAGTGGCATGGATAATAAAGGTGATCAATTTGATTCTCCCACGGTTGGCTATACCTGCTTGTTCCCTCACTGTGGCAGATGCACCCTTGCTCAACACCGAAAGCTCACACTCAGTAGCACGGCGAAAGCAGATTGTGATTTTAGTATGTGCTGCGAAATGTCAACTGATCTCTGCACTTCAAAGAGGGAAAGCTCATCGAATACAAGCTTTTTGAGTTCTGCTACAAGTTTTTCTCAACAAAAATCGAAGGTTCGTATACGTACTGGTAATGAATCCCTCAATATATCGTGATGCCAAGCTTTCACTCATCCTCTTTACACCGAGAAAGAAATTCGTTTTAAGCGCATGATGCCCACGCATTTGTTGACTACCTTTACAGAACGCGCAACAGACTTGGCGAACGAGAAGGAGCAAGTATAGCTGTAAAGCAGGCTTAACACTCCCTCTGGTTTAGTGTAACTACTTGCCCACTTTGTGAATGTTTACGCGCTTGGACCTTGCTCAGCTTTCTCATTATAGTCAGCAATGGACTTGGCAGCGCGAAAAGGGTTATGGTCGCTTACTCCTTGCAGAAACACAAGGGGTGAGTTGCAATGGTCATGCCGGCCACAAGAAATGCCCACATACGCTGAAAGTCGGCACAGTGAGCTACTTTGTTAAATTCCAGACGCAACGATGCGAGGATCAATGTCATCCCAAAGAGGGCAAGGCAGAACGCGTAGCGGCAGTGTGGTCATGCCCTCTGGCCATGGAGTAGGTTAGAGTCCAGAGCGTGCTGCTGTCCTTGCGACTGTTGTCTAGACTTGCGTAAAAGCATTAAGTATGTAGTCGGGGACCTTCTCTGGCGCTGATGGGAGCATTAATGTGTTAGTGCGCAATACGTTTCAGACAGTGCCGTGCACACCAAAAGCATTACATTCTTGCGTTTTTTCTTGATTTTCGCAATAGTGGTGGAATTGGTGAATTCTTATGGAATGTGTGGCATGTGTGAACTTCCTTTGCGTTAGTAAGCCTAGAAGAAGGCAATTTAGAGCAGTGTTCCTGAAATAAGGCTGCCATGTGCTAGAGAAGAGCAAGAAGTAGACAATGTGACCTCGCACAGGCACCACAGGTAGCCCGGTCAGGTAGAGATATGAATATTAGGGAGAGAACTTTGCATGTCTTCGTGCTGTGTAGGGTCTTTGCATTCAGCAGGCTAGGCAGATTTAGAGGTGTGACCAGTAGGACCTGAGTAGTGCTGAATAAACCTCCCAGGTTTGGACAACCCTGTTCCTATCAAAAGATAATAATTGCTGTTGGGACGAAGGGCGCAGAGTGTGCGTACTCACCGTACATAAGCTACAGAAGCATGTAGCTCGTATACTTGGTAAAGATTAAGAAGCCTTGTGCTTTTCGTTGCACAGCCCGCCCCAGGCATTTTTATCCCTAGATAGTGCTGTTTTACCCTCATTACCTGACAATCTGATATCACAGGTAGATTGAGTGGTAGAAGTCCATTTGGCTTCAAAGAACGTGGCTGTAAAACTGGACTAAAGTGTGTAGCAGAATAGCAGAAAAAGCGAACATCTCCCGTAAGGCCATGGTATTTCATCAGAAAGGGGCATTGCCAATGGCATTATTTCTGCCCTCCAAGATATGCGCCGAGTCACTAATCGTTGACGACAAGGAATATGCTTGCCTCCAAGAAATCCAGTGATCGCAGAGCCACTGCACGGACCTCCGGGATATTTGGGGGCTGCATGCGTCTTCAGGTGACCCTACGGCACGAGCAGTGTTTCGTTTGGTTTTGCTAAAATTTTCCCTACACTCCCACTAGTAAAGCTTGTACTGCGGGAAAGATCTTGCTTTGTATCCTTCTTCCCCCGTTGGCACGCGATTGGCCTCCCAGGTGTGCAGTTGTCGTAGGACCTTGGTGAGTTGTCTGGGATTTGTTAGTTTGGAGAAGTATCAACCGATGATAGTAGCACAAGAATGCTGAATCGCATCTCATATGACAGAAACAAAAATACGTAGGCGCATGCGATTTGCCATAACGTTGCTAAGGGTAGCCATGCGGTAGAGACGATCCTTCGTCTAATAAAGCATGCTACGTGATTCAGACCTCAAGACTTCAGGCTTGTACTAGCACCATCAGGGTTCGGATATGGTTTGGATTGAAGGCTTGGAAAGCTTCTACTGGAGAAGTACTGAAAATACTTTGATCGCCGAATGCACTAGGTGAAACGCTGTGCGTGCGCTTCCAGGTTTTGGTTCTGTAGTCAACAAGGGTTGGCAGCTATCAACTTTAGGAAAAGATAGGCTTGAATTCGTGGTAGCTAGCCCACCTAGAAATTCTCTGTGTGCCAGAATGCGTTAAGTAACGAGTTTTCTCGTTGCTCCATGTATGAAAGGTCTGATGGCGCATTAGTGGATTGCTTGGAGACCCCTACGCAGAATGTGGTGGCGCATTGTTGTGTTTGATGCACTTTCGATGAAGGAAAAGAGGAAAAGAGGGGCGTCATACCAAGCAACCTACCAGTTTTTCCCTTGTCATGGCTGTCTAGACCAGCTGGTGGCAATCTGCCTCACTCTATCGGCTTGTTCTGTTGACGAGTCATCTCATACTCAATATGCTTGGGGTGTAGATCTACAGCTGCATATGCAGGCTGTGTATAAGGCCCGTATGGCTTGTGTCTCTTGCCCCTTGTGGGCTGATCTCTGCACCGAGTGAGTGAAGCACGCTACAGATGAGTATCTTGGAAAGCCCACGGAGTAGTCAGCACTACGAGTTGCATGATGCCTAATGCGCAGCAGATCTTATGGTACGCTCAGGTCGATGCAGGTGGAATGCATGCTTTGAGATCTACATACAGGCATCCCTGAAAAGGTAATGTACATGCCTCCCACTGATGCTCAGTTCATCTAGAGTAGCATGCTGTAAGTGCAGGTGCTGCCGCGAATCTTCAAAAACAAGAAATATGAAGCTTGGCGTGTCCGCACTCCTGTTGTGTCTTCGCATCTCCTCATCAGGACCTCAGTTCAATTATCCATATTTCTTTGATATTTCTATTAGCGGTGATTCTTTGAGACAACGGGCGTGTGCTACACCGGAGCTGTGCAAGCTTCCTCACTACCAATGGTGGCCGAAAATCCGCTGTGGGTCCAGCAGGACCCAGCACTTGAAGGTGACCGGTCTGCCTGTCATAGAATATCAGCACTTGCGTAACTACTTGATCAAAAAGCTCATGACTGATTACAGCATCCTGTCCTGCTTGCTTGAACCCTGTCAAGGATTAGCAGATAGCACTGCACATTTTGGTCGCTGCATTATTGTTTGTATGATAGCATATTTATTAGAACACTTTGCAGACTGACACTCTAATTTAGGTGATGGAGTGTTACATGTTTTTGAGGACAAACGAAGTAAGACATGGGTCTCGATCTCAACGGCTCAGGTGCCATTCCTTAACATTTCGTAGGCCAGACTCACGGAGGTCTCGCTCCAGATCATCCACTACTCCGAGATGCTCAGGCGACTCTGAAGGAGCATCTGAAGAAGCGTCTAGCAAGCTTGGATGAGCAGCTTTTCGATAGCCAAATCAAAGCTGAAAAGATTGACACAGAGCAAGGCGAGCTGGGGGTAGAGCTCTTTGAGGCCCAGCAGCGCCTCCAAACATTTCAAAACAAGATACGGAGGCTTTCCGAACAAGAGGAAGCAGCCCAAAAAGTCAGTTTAGGGCTTCTAACAAGCACATTACTTGTTGTAGACCGCCCTTGATTCACAAAAATATCACTGGTATCTCGCTCCTCTGCGCCAACGTATGCGTTTCTTTAGTACTGAGGGAGAAAAAGTCCTCCCACGTGACCTTTGGTAGGTTGTCATTTGTTTGCGTGAAGAAAAGAGCAGCCAGCGAACAAGAGATGCAGAAGCTCGCCAAAGAGCTGCGTGCGGAAGAGGCAGAAGTCTCCGCGACAAGAGATCTACTTTTGAAGACGCGTGCTGAAGTCAATGAAATCAAATTTGCTTTGCAAAAGGCGCAGGAACACACCATTAGCCTTGAAAACTCCATAAAGGTGCGAAATCACCGGCAATTGCTTAATCACCTTACAACTGACCATATCTCCCGTACCCAGTGCACCGTGGGGGAGTTAATCAGCCGCAGTCACTACCAAATGGCAGCGGCTTTTCGTTCGATATGGGTCCTATAAAATCTACGGAAGTAGCCGCAACAACCCCCCTCGAAAAACTTACTGAGCTGTGTTCGATTGCTTTAGCTTAAACGTCGAGAGCTTTACAAGGACAGTGAAACCTTGCGAAAAGACGAACTACAAAAGATGCGCCAAGACTTCTTTCTTGATCGGCTCCATGGGCAGCTGCAGGAAATGTCGGAACAGAAGGACTCGATAGTGGCACAAATAAAAGCGCATGAGGCTGATCATGAGGTCTCAAAAACAGCAATTCGAGAGGCGCAACGTATGCATCAGTACAGCGCTCCGATGAATTAAACAGTTGACGGATAGCAAAGAAACATGTGTTGCGGTTCAAAAAGCCCTGCTCCAACTCTTAAATCTGAAGCATACCTCTAGCGAAGTTGCTACGCGTAGAGAAATTTCCCCACTGCTTTTTTCTGGGAAAGTTCACTGGATTACGGATGCCTAGGATACTTTGATGCGTGCAGATGAGATAGACGAAATTATGAAAGGCAAGCGCGAGCTGCGTACACAGCTCCAAGCGTGCATGCAAGGTATTGAAATGCGTTCGCGGGCAGAAGCTACAATAAAGAAGGCCATAGAAACTCAGGAAGAAAAGGCAACTACACTTCAGGGCCACATCCGCGAGCTCGAAGTGAGATTTTCCTTTGTTGTCGTCTCTCGAGGACAAGAATTTCCAGAGTTTGAACGGCCCTTACGTTTTGTCAAGGAGTTAAACAGAGCTGCACATGGGGCGGGAATATTTAAGGGTGCGGAAGTTGGAATTTGATGGAGTCGGTCTGCACCATATAGTCTTGTGACGAGTGCTGTGTGTTTTGATACATGTGAAACACAAACCAGCAAACAATGCGCGACCTCCAGGAAATGAACGAAACTTTAACTGCACAACGAAATTCAACACATTATCAACTTAAAGGCATCCAGGCGCAAATATCCAGTTCGGAAGATACGCAGCGCCAAATGCGGCAGCAAGTGACAGTCCTTGCGACGTCTCTCAACAAAGCACAAGACGATGCCAAAAAGACGGAAGAGCTCGCCAATTCTCTTGCCCACCAGCGAGAGGTACGTAAATAGTGGTGCCGATGACGTATGCGTTGCTTGGTGAAGCCACTTTTTTCTTTACGCCTTCTCTTCTGAGACTCGGCTAGCATGTAGGTTCATTGCCTTTTCCTGCAACATATATTTTATTATTCGTAAGTGCCAAACTGTAGATCCTAAATCTATAAAGCCTAGCCTCATGACCAGTATTGGGTGTGTAGCCGCTCCATCGCACGACAGGCGGTTATTCGGGAAGTCCAAGACTCCGTGCAAGAGTGCAGTCGTCTCACCAACCAAATCTTTGAAGCTTTAGCTGATCAGGCGTCCATCACGAGAGCTGGAAGTACCCATCACAAGGCAAGTTCGTGTGATGTGCTGGCTAGAAAATCCACTTCGACATAGTTTTTCCTGTAAATCGAGTTGATTTGCAGCATTAGTTGACTCGTATCCTCAGAATGTGCATTCAGTGGATCTTTTCAACTGTTCTTATGCAGGCTTAGCTATCAGTAAATGCCACTAACGATGTGATAGAACAACTAACCCCATCGTTTTGTCGTATGTGGCACGTGTACTTTCATATCCCACACAGCCTTTATCCTCACGCCGAAAACAACCATGAAAATTACTAGCAATCGCAATCGAATGCTGGCGCTGCCAACACATGGAGCCACCTCAACTTTTTGGAGCCCTCATGCCAAAGCCATTAAAGGGCCATCACATGGTTTTTGGTATCGTTGAATTCAGAAAACCAAGGCTTTGCTGCAGGGATGTGAGGAGCGTGAGGCAGAGCTTGTTAAAGTCGAATTCGAGACCGCTCAGTTGCAGGTAGAGAGCGCTGGCGTTAGAGCGGCGATAGCGGCCGCGGAGGAAGAAATGGCCGGTATAGACCAGGATATCAAGGAAAAAGAAAATTTTTTGGATCAAGTACGAGGAATTCAAAAGCTAGAACATGGTTTTATGATGAAGCTGGAAATAGGCTGACCCGATTTATATTTACATGGCCCTCCAGTAGTACAAGACGTGAAAACCATCAAAGATGTATAGGAAGGTTACAGAAACAAATTTTGTGCACCGGCAGCGTTGCAACATGAATCGAATCTGTTGCACGTGTGACTCGAATATGTGCTTTTGAAACAGTAATACCCATTGAGCAGCTATGAAGAGCACAAAGATTTCAACGTGCACTTGCAGTCACAGAGTCATTGTACTTAAAGCTTTGGCGGAAGTACAGCCATTATGAAAGTCGCCTTCACAGCATAAAACGCCGATACTTGCATCTTGTGAAATATTCGGAGCTTGCGCTGAGGTGTGAAGCAGTTTGTTAAAGTTTGTGCCTCGCTGCAGTATCAAGCAGAAATACGAAAGGGCCACATTCTGATTAGCAGGAAACAACAGCTTGTCGACCAGTTGAACAGGTAACTATTACACGGGATGCATTACAAACGCATATTGACTTCAGAACACATGCAAAAACGCGCAGTAAGCTTAAGCTTCCCCTCCCCCTCCCCCTCCACTGCAATACATGAAAGCAGAAGCCGTACGGGGAGTCATCCACGTGCTGGAATCTGGGATGCCATGAGACAATGCAACCGAGCTTTTGACCAGGGAATACGATGCCAAGAAAAGTGCGAATGGGGAGGAATCCTCTGGAGTTTTGGATGCAACGATTCGAGGGTTGAAGTAGGCTTCTGCACTTGCGTGTTCGAAACAAGTAATAATCTGAGGCTGCGCGCCTCCTGAAACCGTGTAGCATCGGCCCTGCAGGATAGCTTAGTAAGCCGAAGCGACACAAAATATGTGAAGGGCTGGAATTCACGCCTCCACTTTTGTGGGTCACTGCTCATGGCGGATACCAGAGGGTATATTGCGGTAGATTTGTATATTAGCCTCTCTTGTGAGAGTACCTGGTTTCTTTTCTTCGCAAAACGCCACCACCGAAATAGCAACTGCGATACTAGAATATGGCAAGTAGAATCCTTTAGCCAATTAAACGGCCTTGATAGAATCCGCATAGTTTTTTTCCCTACAGGCGCACATTGAATATTCAGTTAGACAGCGCTTGCTAAAATGTGCACACAAAGTATTCGCGATCATCGACTGAAACTTTTGTAGCCACTAAGAATGAAGTCTTTCCTTTATTGTATGGGTATGTGACCCTAACAATAAATGCTGATGAGGTAATGGGTATATCGTTAAACATGGATAAACTACCGGAAGATTGATAGCCACACAAACGAAAAATGCTTTGTCCTTTTGTTTGTTGCTCACGTAGGAGCCAATCGGCACAGAACGCCCAGAACATAGCGGAGCTGCAGCAAGTATGGATCAAGAAGCAGACCGACCTGATAAATCTACAGGCCAAAATAGGGGGGAAAAGGGAGGAAGTAAGGCTGGCTACCCCACCGAATCCAACTTGGGTTTTGATTCTACTGTATCGCGGCGGCATCAGCCGCAATTGTGATAGCAGACTACAAAAGGTAGGTGATTTTCGACAAAACTCTGTACCGCAGGTGGCCGCAAAGAAGGACGAGGTGGCGATTCGCAAGCAGAGGAATGTCCGGATTAGCGGCGAAGTGGAAGCAACGAAGAGAGAGATCAAGACGCTTACATCCGAGCTGAAAGAGATGCAGCATCTGGTGGATCGAATGAGCAGGCAAATGGTTGCGTTTAAAGACGGACAGGCAAAGTTCGAAAACGAGGCAGCCGCAGTGGCGGGAGAAGCGGCGCTCCAGCTAGAGCAGAAGAATACCCAAAAAGAGGAGTTGCGTTTGAGCGTAAAGGTCTATCATTTATGTTTTTTATGCATCAGGCTCTCTAAAAGTTCGTGCACTCTTATTCAATGGTAGCACTCAGTGTACTTGAATGGTATGCTGCAAATTCCCCTTCCCAAACAGTGCGGGCACAGGAATTTGCATAACGTCTGTATCCTATATTGAATACAAATACCACGCAGCATTTGGTGTCGTTCAGAAAACAGAAGAAGAGCGTGATACGTGCCTTGAAGAAATTCTCAGCTTGGAAAGCCAAGTGATGCTGTGGGAGAGAAAGATTACCCTAGAAAAGGAAATGCAGATGGCCATTGATCCGTCCATTGGACAGGTATCCCGTTTCTATGTATTAAACCTTGCTGCGTACTTCATAGACCTTGTTTCTGCCAGTAACATATATTCTAGCTCCTGCAAAAAAAGCGCAGACTAGCGGGCATAAGCAGTAGAATTCGGGTTGAGGACATGACGGTTTTGCACTAGCTTTGTTGGAAACATATGCTTTCAGAGCGAGTTAACTGCCATGAAAAAAGAAATTCATCGAATGGAATTGCGGGAAATACAACTTAAAAACACCCAAGACCATTTAGTGAATGAACTGAAACGGGTACACTAGCCCTTCCAGACCTTTCGGACAATGTTCCGAATTCATGATTCGGGCACTGTACAAACGTTTATGCCTCTTAAGCTATTTGTATTCTGTATTCTATCTCAAAGGAGTACTGTATCGCGTGCACAACCTACGATCTGGCAATAAAAGATGTACTCGCTTGAACAGTTCATTTTACACGTTTCACTGTTCTCGCCGTCCTGCCACCAACACTCCAAGAGATGTTGTACTATCTCTCCCTTGCTTCTAGTTCAGTCAGTGGTGGCTACCTAGGACACGGCTTCCATGTGTTCTGAGCGGCCCCCATGCAAAGCGCCAGCAGTCTGTCACACCAAGCATCTCGGAGTTTGAATCCACCTGCGCATTGCAGATGCTGGATAAACGGGACTATATTCATGTGCGCAACGAACCCCGCTCACGTGAAGTCAATGAGGCGCATCAGAAAACGGTACTCCAACGGAAGCTTGCGGCCCTTGATACAAGGCTTAAAGAGGCAGAAGGTAGATGGTAGATGCACTCCACAACCGTACTATTGCACCGCAACTCTAAGAGATAGGCCAGTAATAAAATGAAGTTCTAGGCGATTTGCCTGACCGTATAAATATGCGTGAACTAGAATTGTGGGGAAGGGACATTGAGCAATAACGAAAAATGGGCTGTGAAGCGATCTGATCCAACCTGGCCAACATCTGAATAGCCGTAATCCGTTAATCCCACCTTACCAGGCCTGAACCATAGATTCTATGCATCCAGCCTAGGACAGCTTTACCCGCTCTAGATCGCTATGGAATTTTGCGAAAAACAGGCTTCTGCCTCAAATTATCTAGTTTTGTGGCTGGGGAACTGCGTGGGCTTGGCAGTTCTGTAGATTGCCGAAAGAGTGGGAACTGAGCGCTTCAAGTCATCTTTGCAGTAGGCATACGTGATATTGCGGCTCCTCTTGTTGTCACAGAGCAAAGCACCAAGACAGAAGCTGTGTTCGAGACCACGACAGCAACTCTCGCCGAGGTTTGCACGAACATATATGCGCCTACCCCCGCATGCCTGGGCTTTGCGTTTGCATATCGCGTTCTTTAGAGCGACTGTACCCACAAAATTATTCAGTTCCTAAGTCTCGTAAGCGTCAAACAATTTACTCGCGGTGCTGTGTAAGGCCTTACCCGCCTGTGGTAACGCTGCAGATCCAAAGTCAGATTACAACTTTGAAGCGAGAAATTGAGGAAGCCCAGAGCAAAATGAAGGCCGCCGAGAGTTCAGTGGAGAAAGAAAAAGGCACGAAGCGCTTAGAGCTGCCCAACGCCTGCCACCTGTCAATGCATTCGCGTGTATTAGTGCCAGTAATATTTGAAGAGGCTTAGTTTTCTAAACTAACTGCGCTTCGCCAGTAGAAATGAGCTCACATGCTTTACGCTGGCGTCTTGCGGCTGCAGTGCGCCTGATGTTTGAAAAAGCCTGCCTCGTGCAAATGCAACGCACTTTGAAGGACATCGCAAAACTTTCAGACGAGGACCTCAAGATTCGGCTGAAGGCAAGCATGACACACGCAGCTAGTGCAAGTTCACTGCTTCAAAGGTTTGGCCACACTGCGTGTAACTTACTTGTGCGAGAACCCGCCGCATGTGTGGCCCTAGCGGTCACAGCAAACAAGACGACATAGCAACCACCGTGTGCAGTTTGGTGGTCATAGATACAACTAAGCTACTCTTTAGCAACGTAGGGTGGTTCTCGCATATGATGGCTGAGTGAGGGTGTAACAAGGAGAATCTAGAAGCCCCAACAGGAAGACGGGTTCCGGGGCAGGATTTTGCACTTATTGCAGCCATCGATAGAACTGGCCATCTACAATGTACAGAGAGAGGCGGCGAGCGTTGCAGCGGCTCTTGCCGAGGCGGAGCAGGTGAGCAGTGTCTCGCAGTGTGCTTCCACACACTTGAATGCGGATTGAAGTTCTTGGCATTGTCGAAATAGACCCTCTAAGGCGTGCAGCATCCTCAGAAAACTGGTTCGTAATTGGGCACAGGAAGAAGAGACTGAAGCCGATGCATCAATGCGTGGAAGCCGGTGCCTCCTTGCACACCTTACAGAATCTCGTGCTTTACTGGTGCTGCAGATATCACCGGCACTGCAGCCGACAATGAGCGCTTTCCGGGCATGGGCATTGCACCTTGCAAACGCAAGCACACTGTACAGGCTCCATCCCTCGGCTTTGCGGTACTCCGCAGAGTGAATAGAATGTTCTCCTAGTGATGGATGTAGGGGGCTGGGCTACGAGCAAGCAGCCTCCACTACACTGGTTAGAAGTAAGAAAGGATTGGTAGAGTTTATTCAAGAGTTGTCTGTTCGTGTGGCGTATCTATTGCAGAGTATTTGAGCTTTAAACACCACCATGCAATTTCTGTGCCTGTGCCCTAAACGCTATGTGCAACTAGTTGTGAACGCTTAGGGTACCCAGCGCGTGCAGCTACGCGCAGCGTAACTGTCCCTTTCCCCTCATGTCAGGAGCTTTGTGAGGTTCGAGGGCAAGAAAGGGAGAAAGCCTTTTCTGAGAAATTCTCAAAAACTTTCTTCTAAGCGTTCCGTCAGTCGAAAGTTCAGTGTCTTCGTACGGACCCCTCAGAGCGAGCATTACAGTCATCTCTTTCATGCTGCTCTAGGAAATTCCACAAAGGAGGGCTCTTTTGCGTGTTCTCTTGCCCTCCTTTGCGCGAAGGAGAGGAGAGTTTATTAGCTAATCTACGTCCTAGACATGCTACACTAGGTACTAGGAGGCCTCTTGAAGAAGGCCTGCCCGGCTGCACTGCTAAACTGCGACTCCGGCGATCTTAATCTGTGACCGCGAATACAGAACCAATACACGCTTTCTTTTGTATCGCTGAAGAGCGACAATGTCGCTCCAGGGATGCAGAAAAATTCGATTCAGGAGGGAACTGCCTCTTTACAAGCGTAAGCAACACAGCCTCGGCTCCATGTTGAGGAGGCGCGCCCCAGTCCTTACTGCAAGGGAGAGTAATGGCCAAAGAAATGCACGCTGAGGCGGCATGCGGCTCAACACAATCTAAGGGCAAGACCGTCAGCTGTAGCGTTGCACTTGCAGGAGGCTTTCTTTTGCCAGTTCGTGGCAAGCATCGCTGTCTGAACCCTTAGCCTGCGGAGCATCCACGGCCCTGTGGACAAAGGGGAGCGAGGAGAAATAAGCTGCATGCCCATAGCTCGACGAGAATCGCGGCATGCAGTGATCAGCCCGTGCTGCTCAGATCTGGCCCGCTTAACACAGGCTTCGAGTATTCGCAGAGCTTGAGCCCTCAGCCTCTCCGTTCAGCGAGTTGGCCGCATCGGCACCAGCATACACATTTTGGAGGAAGGGTTTTTCCTTTAGAGGGCAGCTGCATCAGGCTTCAAGTTGCATGTGCTAGACAGATCCCCCGCTGCGCGGCACGGCGTTAAGAGAAACTTGGCAACCGTAGCAGCGAAGGCATTCGCACAGCTTGGAACGCTGGTCCACCATGGCTCCCTGAATTCCGACTCGAGAATGCATGGCGTGAAGTTGCATTTTTCGCAAGAATTCGCAACTCAAGGCGCCTTCGCTTTGCAGTGCAAGTGGTGTTTTAAGGGACCGCGCAGGGGCGAGAGGCGGCTGCCCTTGCCGCTACCCCTAGCAGGCATTCGACCCCCCTTCTGCGGCGGAGGAACTCGTGTCAGGGGGCCCTTCGCCCTCTTCTTATCTCCTAATTGCTGCATTTCTTCCGACAAACTCACTGGTTTCAGAAGGTTGCGGCTCGAACCACGCCTTCCCTCGGTTCGGCTCGCGTCCTCAGGTGACACGGAGGCTGCGAGCAGCCCAGCCCTCGCGAAGCCCACTCCTCCCTACATCCGCTAACCAGAAATTCCATGCTTCGAGGAAAATCGGCTGCAACAATCCACCCTCGCGTTCTGCTGCCTGAGGCGCAGCCTCCTCAGGAGCTGCCTGCCCTTCCGCGGGGGGGCACCCAGCACACCCATGATGTCGCGCAGCAGCGAGCTCGACACGTGAAAGCGACTTCGAACTGCACGGCTTTTCGGCGACAACACGAAGAACGCCTCAGGCCGCCTCTGGGGGCCCCCAAGGGGCCCCCAGAGGCGGCTTTCTGCCACAATGAAGGGCCCCTTGCAGACGGCTCTCCTCGGGTTGGCAGCGGCTCGCAGCAGCACTGCAGACTTCCGGAGAGAGGCGCAGCGCGTGCTCGACGCCTTTGACTTAGAGGCCAGCAGCGACGCCAACAGCGTAGTCTTCTGGGTAAAGACTCAACAGATCGCTGCCAACGCAGCGCTCCAGCAGCTGCAGCGCTGTCTCCCTCCACAGCAACTCCCGCAGCGGAAAGGAACGCCTGCGCTCGCAGCCAATGACAGCCTCCTGCTCCTCGCCATCGTCAGCAGAGCTCACACTCGCCTTGGCCTTCTCCTGGAAGGGGCCTCAAAAGCACAAGAATGCGAAGAAGCCGCAGAGGGGCCCCTTGATGACGCCATCCACGCGGTGCTCATTATGCTGCAGCATGTGAACAGCAAGAACCGCGCAGCCTTAGAAAACTATGCACAGGCAACGCACAAGGGCATCCACCACATCGTTGCAGCTGCCGAAGAATGGGAAAAAAGCTGCTACAGAGTCTTGGAACTGCTTACTCGACACGTCAAATTAATTGCACATCTTCCAGAAGCACGGAAAGGTCTGCAGAAGAACGAGCCTATATATATATACATATGCACCCCTTTCTGTTTTGTTGTTGTTTCTGTTGTTGCTGCTGTTTTTTTGTTGCTGTTTTTGTTGTTTTTGTTGTTGTTGTTGTTTTTTTCCTTGCTGTTGTTTTTGCTGCTGTTTTTGTTGTTTTTGTTGCTGTTGTTTTTTTTGCTGTTGCTTTCGTTGTTTTTGTTGCTGTTGTTGTTTTTGTTTTTGTTGTTTTTGTTGCTGCTGTTGTTTTTGTTTTTGTTGCTGCTGTTGTTTTCGATGCTCCTGCTGTTGTTTTCGATGCTCCTGCTGTTGTTTTTGATGCTCCTGTTTTAGTTGCTTTTGTTGCTGTTGCTGCTCCTGTGATTGTTGTTGTTGCTCCTGCGCGTACTTGCACATGCGTCTAAGACCCTTTTCCTTCGCGTCTTTTTGCATCCCTGGATGGCTGGCGATGGTGGTGTGTGGCATATAATCCGTGCGGTTGTTGTGAGAGAAAATTGGAGGTGTTTTCGTTTGCACTGCTGCTGCGACAGGTGCCTTGTGGCAGCTTCTCACGGGGATGGAGGAAGGAAGCCTTCCCCAGAAATGCGCTGTCATTGCTGCTTCCTTGTGCCTCATCCCTTCCTTCAAGTCCGCAACAGCTGCACACATCAAGCGAACGCTGAGGCGGTTGCTGGTGCAACTGCGCGACTGCTGTCTTGGCGAAGAGTTGCCTGCACAAGTCACCACCAACTTAGCGCTGATAGAGGCACTGCTGCTGCTGCTGCTGCGTCTCTCTCTCGCGTTTCCTTTAGCCTTCCGCAGCCAGTTGTTTCTCTGCTGCATCCCACAGCTCCGTCAGAAGGCGAGACACGATACCGAACATCAGGCCTTACTTGAGGAAACTCATAGGATGAGGAATTCTCACCTGCAGATGGAGGGGGAGCAGCAACAGCGACAGCAAGAGCAGCACCAGCAACAGCTGCAAGAGCAACGGCAGCACCAGCAACAGCTGCTGCCGCAGGAGCAGCCACCACAAGAGCAGCTCAGGCTGCAGCAAAAACAATATGGCGATCCTCAGCGTGCAGACCATTGGCTCCAACCTACACTGGATAGTCCTTTTCCTCTCTCGAGGAAAATGCTCGTTCAGCAGGAGCAAGGGCAGCCGTTGCCTAAACATGTACCACCAGCATCAGCAGCAGCAGGAGCAGCGTCAGCAGCAGGAGCAGCAATATCAGCACCAGCAACAGCATCAGCATCAGCTTCAGGAGCAGCGTCAGCATCAGCTTCAGGAGCCTCAGCAGTATCAGGAGTCTCAGCATCAGGAGTCTCAGCAGTATCAGCAGCATCAGCAGCATCAGCAGTATCACCATCAGCAATATCAGCAGTATCAGCAGCATCAGCAGCATCAGCAGTATCACCGTCAGCAATATCACCGTTGGAATGGCAGCCTCTTGCGCTGGTTGTACTGCAGAGACTTTCCCGCCTCTCGGTGCTTCGCTTGTTCTCCACCAAAGGACGAAGCACACTGCTGCAACTTTGCCGTCTTTCACTTCGCTGCTTAAGAGCGCCTTCACTCTTCGCCCCTCTCCCTGTAGCAAAACTCAGTGCGTTGTTTACAAGCAGCCGCAAGTGCAGCAGCACCCGCCGATGCTGCTTTTCCGAAAAAAAATCCAGCTCTGTTCCTTCCTCTCGCTCTCTCCCTGCTCCCTGTTCTTCTTTCTCCCTGCTCTTTCCTCTCTGTCTCTCTCCCTGCTCCTTTCTCCTTCTGCGAAGCGCCGTTTGTTTTTCCTCCAAGCTTGTAGGTAGACCCCGCGTCAGTTTCAAGTGCAGGCATTCATGTTGTTGCTGCTGCTACTGCTGCTGCTACTGCTGCTGCTACTGCTGCTGCTACTGCTGCTGCTACTGCTGCTGCTACTGCTGCTGCTACGGCTGCTGCTACTGCTGCTGCTACTGCTGCTGCTACTGCTGCTGCTACTGCTGCTGCTACTGCTGCTGCTACTGCTGCTGCTACTGTTCCTCCACCTCTCTCCCTCTCTCTGTCTCTCTCCCTCTCCCCTTCTGCAGAACCCTTTCGTGAGCTTCTGCGCAATTTAATTACCTCCATACCCCTACTCTTGGAGGAAGAGGCGGAGAGTCCTCTAACACCTCAAGGAGCAACTTCTTGGCGACTCAGAGGTCGACTAAAAGTTCACGCTGCAGTGACGCTCAGTTCAGCGCTGAACGCTCTCGACTCATCTAATGGAGAGTCTGCTTTGCAGTATGCCTCTGCACACTTCCATCCTCAATCGTCGCCGCGAAGGAAGCTTGTGCCTTTCTTCCTTCTCTCATTCTTGTTCTTCCTTTTCTTGTTCTTGTTCTTGTTCTTCCTTTTCTTGTTCTTGTTCTTCGTCTTGTTCTTGTTCTTGTTCTTGTTCTTGTTCTTGTTCTTCGTCTTGTTCTTGTTCTTCTTGATCTTGTTCTTCTTGTGCTTCTTGTTTTTCTTCTTGTTTTTCTTCTTGTTCTTGTTTTCTTGTTCTTGTTCTTGTTCTTCCTCTTCTTGCTCTTGTTCATGTTCTTGTTCTTCTTGTTCTTGTTCTTGTTCTTGTTCTTCGTCTTGTTCTTGTTCTTCTTGATCTTGTTCTTCTTGTGCTTTTTGTTTTTCTTCTTGTTTTAGTTCTTCTGCTTCTTGTTCTTGTTCTTCTTCTTCTTGTTCTGGTTCTTGTTCTTGTTCTTAATCATGTTCTTATTCTTCTTGCTCTTGTTCTTGTTCTTGTTCTTCTTGTGCTTCTTGTTTTTCTTCTTGTTTTTCTTCTTGTTTTAATTCTTCTTGTTCTTGTTCTTCTTCTTCTTGTGCTTCTTGTTTTTCTTCTTGTTTTTCTTCTTGTTTTAGTTCTTCTTGTTCTTGTTCTTCTTGTTCTTGTTCTTCTCATTCTTGTTCTTGTTCTTAATCATGTTCTTATTCTTCTTGCTCTTGTTCTTGTTCTTGTTCTTCTTGTGCTTTTCGTTCTTGTTCTTCTTGTGCTTCTTGTTTTTCTTCTTGTTTTTCTTCTTGTTTTTGTTCTTCTTGTGCTTGTTCTTCTTGTTCTTGTTCTTCTTGCTCTTGTTCTTGTTCTTGTTCTTCTTGTGCTTTTTGTTCTTGTTCTTCTTGTGCTTCCTCTTGTTTTTCTTCTTGTTTTTCTTCTTGTTCTTGTTCTTCCTTCTCTCATTCTTGTTCTTGTTCTTAATCATGTTCTTGTTCTTCTTGTTCTTGTTCTTCCTTCTCTCATTCTTGTTCTTCCTTCTCTCATTCTTGTTCTTCCTCTTCTTGTTCTTCTTGTTCTTCCTCTTCTTGTTCTTGTTCTTCTTGTTCTGCTTCTTCTGTTTGTTGTTGTTCTTCTTCATCATCTTCGTCATCATCATCATGTTCCTTTTCGCTTCCTCCCTGCCCTGCGCACGCTGCAGGCAGACAGGACGAGCTGCTGTTGTGTTTGCCATTGTTGTTTACTTTTTTTGTTTCCTGCCGCAGGATGTTGACTGACGAAGCGTGGATGCACCGCGTCTCGCAAGCAGATCTCGTGGCAGAGGCCTTATGGGAAGTATCTGTTCTGAGACGGGGGGGAGGCTTTTTGCAGCAGCAGCCACAGCAGCAAGGTGCACAAGGCGATCGCCAGCACTACTACTACTACTCCTGCTGCTGCTGCGCCTCCTGCAAGGGCAGATTTACCAGCAGCCTCAGCAGCAGCAGCAGCAGCAGCACGGGGGGGGGTGCCTTTGACTGCTCTTCAGACGATAGCAACTTAAGAACTTCTTCGGGAAGACGTGCATCTTCTGTTTGTGCAGCGAGAGCGACCAGCAGAGGCAGCTCGCTGCTCCAGGCAGCTCCGTTGCAAGCTGAGGCGGCAGTGAAAGCTTCACGAAAAGACTGTCGAGAAGCAGCTCACTCCGCAAAGGCAGATTTCGGAGACGATGCGAGCTGCAGTGGCCTCTTGAAAATTGGCACTGCCCTTGGCTCCTTCCTGCTTCACAAGATCGAGTCAAGCTTGACACGGATGTCACCAGCCAGCTACGGATTTTGGTGAGCGGAGGAGTTCTTCTGTTTGCCCGCTGCAACGCGCATGCTGCTCTCTGGCGGCTGCTGCAAGGGGCAAGAGGGGGAAGAAAGAGGAGGGAAGGGGGGTGAAGAAGGCTGGAGGAGGAGACGCTGCCTTGCTTTCGCTGCGAGAAGCTGGATGAACAGCTCTGCTTTCTGAGCGAACGCTATTCGAGATATCCATGCGCAGCCAGAGTCGCCCATAAAAACACAAGAAGTGCTGGCAAGTGCCGCCTCGTTCGGACTGTCTGGAGGCTGCAGAGAGATGGAAAGAAAAAAGGATTGACTTCTCGTAGCCAACTGAGTGCTAAAAGGGACTGGGCGTGCATGCATGCATGCATGCATGCATGCATGGCTGTAATTGTGTGCGCAGGTTCCTAATAGCAGTCCGCGCTTGCGAGCTGTACGGCTGGTGCCTCCCGCGGAAGATGCAGCAGCAGCTCTTTGCAGCTGCAGCGGAAGCTCTGCTTGCAGCCTTGAGACAAGATCTTGAAGCGGCAGCAACGGCGGGGGTAGGAGCACTAGCAGCAGCATGCACAGCCGACTGCTTCACTGGAGAGGCTTGCATCATGCAAGCCTTGGCAGCAGTCCTCATGATACCAGTACATCGCAGTTTGCAGCGCAGGCAGCACAAGCAACTCGATCCTTGTCTTGAAGACTCCAGGGAGTCTACGCACTGCCAAGAATGCGGAGCGGCTGCGTGGAGTAACGTTTCGAATGAGGCTGTCACAGCGCAGAAGGGTGTAAACTTGGGAGTTCCTCTCCTTGCCAGTCAGCTGCTGGCACCAAGCCCAATAGCCTCCTGCCTCTGGTAAAAATGTTGCTGTTCATATTGCTGCTACACGTAGTGTTGCTCTTCATACTGCTGCTATACGTAGTGTTGCTGGTCACACTGCTGCTGTACATACAGCTGCTGGTCATATTGCTGCTGATCATATTGCTGCTATACGTAGTGTTGCTCTTCATACTGCTGCTGTTCATACTGCTGCTGTACGTACAGCTGCTGTTCATATTGCTGCTGTTTATACTGCTGCTCCACGTAGTGTTGCTGGTCATACTGCTGCTGTTCATACTGCTGGTATACGTAGTGTTGCTGGTCATATTGCTGCTGTTTATACTGCTGCTATACGTAGTGTTGCTGGTCATACTGCTGCTGTACATACAGCTGCTGGTCATATTGCTGCTGTGCATACTGCTGCTGGTCATATTGCTGCTGTTTATACTGCTGCTATACGTAGTGTTGCTGGTCATACTGCTGCTGTACATACAGCTGCTGTGCATACTGTTGCTGGTCATATTGCTGCTGTTCATACTGCTGCTATACGTAGTGTTGCTGGTCATATTGCTGCTGTTCATACAGCTGCTATACGTAGTGCTGCTGTACATACAGCTGCTGGTCATATTGCTGCTGTTTGTACTGCTGCTATACGTAGTGTTGCTGGTCATATAGCTGCTGTTCATACTGCTGCTATACGTAGTGTTGCTGGTCATATTGCTGCTGTTCATACTGCTGCTATACGTAGTGTTGCTCTTCATACTGCTGCTGTTCATGCTGCTGCTATACGTAGTGTTGCTGGTCATACTGCTGCTGTACATACAGCTGCTGGTCATATTGCTGCTGTGCATACTGCTGCTGTTCATACTGCTGCTATACGTAGTGTTGCTCTTCGTACTGCTGCTGTACATACAGCTGCTGGTCATATTGCTGCTGGTCATATTGCTGCTGTTCATGCTGCTGCTATACGTAGTGTTGCTGGTCATATTGCTGCTGTTCATACTGCTGCTATACGTAGTGCTGCTGTACATACAGCTGCTGGTCATACTGCTGCTGCTTACACTGCTTCTGCTCTCCCGGCTGCTGCTCTACCTACTGCAATGCTTCTTGAACACACAAGGACCCCCTCTTGACGCCAGATAGCGTGTGGAGGCTTCTGTAAGAGAGCTCGCGCTGCTGTTTCTGCTGTGCTGCTGCAGTGGAGAGGCGGTTCCGACTGCGGAGGTTCAAGACATGTTGTCTCCCGAGATGCATGCACTAGCTGCAGAGCTGTTGTTGCGGCTGCTTGCGCATGCTTCTCGTTTTGCAGCTGCGATGCAAAAGCCGCTGCAGCAGCGGCAAAGGGAGGTGCCGTGCTTCACGCTGCTCCCCCCTGCGTTGCTGCAGCCGTCGTATTTTCAGCTGTTGCAGATGCTGTTGCTCCTTCTGCCATCTTGCAGCACACGCAAGGCTGTGCAGCTGCTCTTTGCGCCTCCCTTCTTGAATTACGAGGTTTCCGCGAGTCTGACTGCCGCCTTTGAAGCCGCTGCAGCTCTCCCCTTTCCTCGAGATGTGATCGCTTCTCTGTTTTTCGCCGCTGGGGAAGACCGTGGAGAGGCACCAGCGACTGTCTCCTCTTTTTCTGCGGGAGTGTGGCAGCTCGAAGCGTTTGCCACGGCACTGACGCTGCATGCAGCGCATGTTTCGGCTGCACAGGCAGAGGGTTTGTTTGTGGGGTTGCTTTCTGCGTTCGAAGAGGCGCAGCCGTCCGCGAGGAGCTCTCAGCGCGGTGCTGCTGGCATGCGGGAGAGTCTCCTTGCCGAGTGTGGATCTGTAGCGACGCTTCTCTTTCTCCGACTTTTGAGCTGCTACGACGACACGCAGAGCATCGCTTCGGGGGGGGCAGAAGGCTGCAGCGGCAGGGGTAGCCTTCTGCAGCGGCGAGAAGAAGCGGCGCCAAAGCCTCCTTTCGCGACTGCGGAAGGTTGCATGCGCTGTTCAGCGGCGAGTAAGGCAGCAGCGTCTAACGACACGCAGCAGCAGGCAATGCACGGAAGGCAGCGAAGTCTCGGGGGGAAGGGGGGGGCCCCCCTCTTCTGGGAGGGGCCCCTGGCGGCTTCACGGTACGAAGTGCGCGGCTTCGCATCCGTGGGGGCTGCGTTGGTGCTGTTGGCAGCGAGTTGCGGCGAGGAAGAAGAGGAGAAAGACGGCGACTGCGGCGCTGCCATTGCCGCCTTTGCTGCCGCTGCATCGACACTTCGGTTCGGCGATGCAGGAGAAGAAGACGCTCAAAAAATTCTCCGCGAACTCGTCGAAAGCGGGAAGAAGGAGCTGCTCGGGAGCTCCCACAGGCCGCTCCTGCTCCTGCAGGAGTTGCGACTGCACGACGTGGAGTGTCTGCTGCTCATGAAGCCGCTGCTTCCCCTCCTTGGATCTGTGGAGCCGCTGCTCAGCGGCTTCTCCAGCGTGCCTGTCTCCCTCCACGCAGGAGCTTTCAAAGCCTTCCGACCAGCCACTCCCCGAGAAACGCTCCTCGTTCTGCACATGCATCCCCTGTGCAGCGCGACAGCCTCCTTGCGTTCTTCTCTGCCAGGCGCGGAGCTGCTGCAGAGAGTCTACGCAACCCACTACCTCAACAGCGAACGGCTTAGAGCATGCCTGCTGCATGCAGCAGCAGCACCTAGAGCAGCGGCAGCAACTGCTTCTCGGGAGCACATGTCGGTCGAAGGCTTTGCCAGCAGCAGCCCCTTCCAACAGACCGTCGTGCAGACTGCCTGCTGCTTCCTACAGAGTCTGCAGATGGCAGTCGCCGTATTGCCGCTGCACTTTTGGGTAGCACCTGTCTCTTTGATTCTTTTGGGGGCACCCCCCCCCTCAGAGATCTGCTGCCTTCCAGGAGACGCCACACCTGCCTGCACGCTGGGGTGCGCCTCGTGGCTTGCGATGCTGCAGCTCGTCGAAGCAGCGACTGCAGCCTTGCAGCATGCTTCAGACTCTACCGCTTCAGACGCACTGACCGCAGCGTGGCTTGGCAGCTCCAACGCGAACAGCGGAGAGCAACAGGAGACTTTCTGGATGCTGCTGCTCGATGCTTTCGTCTTCCTGCAGCGAAACGGTTCCCCCTGTCCTCCTTCGCCTTGCAGCAACAGCAGCGGAGACGGCAAGAGCAGCGGAGACGGCAGGAGCAGCGGAGACAGCAGCAGCAGCAGCAGCAGTCGCAGCTGCAGGGGATGCCCCTTCGAGGCGTGGCAGCAGCTTTCTCAGCAGACAGCGCGTGGCAAAGACACCACAGAAGAGCTGCGTCAAGTCGCATTCAGCGCTAGAGGGATCTGCTCGTCCTCTAGAGCCTTTAGAACCGCAGCAGCAGCAGCAGCAGCAGCAGCAGCAGAAGCTGAAGCTGCTGCTGCCTCGCCGTGTTTGACGCTTCTGTCTAACAAGCAGCTTCAGCTGCTTTTGTGGCCTTTGTTGAGGGCGTTCGTAGACTGCAGAGAAGCTGCCGAGGGGCCCCTCAGCCTTCCACTGATCTTTCCTCCGGGAGCAGCAGGAAGAGGAAAAAGCAGCAGGCAGACAGGAGAAGGCTTCGCGGAGGAGGAGCAGCAGCAGCAGCTACAGACTCCTCAGGAGTCAGAGAACGTTTCTCAGAGGGGGACTGCTGCACCGAAGGATGATGCACGTCCAACAATGATGAGAACGACGACGATGACTAGACATGTCAGCAGTCGCAGCAACACTTGGGAGGCTCCAGTGTCTCACCAGCAACGGCGCGTCATGCCTCCTGACAGACCGCGCCTTTCTGCACATGCCCATACACCGACTGCTGCAGCCGCGGGTCGTCTCGTCTCTCTCCTGCCGTCTCAGCTGTTGATTCTGCGAGGCTTGCTGCAGTCTGTGATTGCCTGTGCCTTCTCTCCGCTGCCGAGAGCGCCTTTTGACGGCTGCAGCAGCGGCAGCTATCCAAAGGGTGCCATCACCTCTGACGCTGCCTCCCCCCCCCTTCCGTCTCCTACCGAACCTCTCTCGCAGACGCAACAAGCGGACGAGCAGCTCGAGACGATGTGCTGCTCTCTGGTTGCGCTGCTTCACGGATTCTGCTCTGGAAGCGGCACGAGCAACAGAAACAACCCCACCTCGAAAAACACCGGAGTCGCTGCTCCCGCAGAGGCGCAGCTGCACCATCTCCTGGCCATGTGCGACGACTCAGGCAGCCAGCGTCGCTTGCTTCCCCTTGCCATGTGCCTCTCCTCGCTCGATATCTCGCGGAAGACGACACCCCTCAAGGGGGGGCCCCCCGGGGGGCCCCCTAGAAGCCTCTACGTGCTCTCGGCTCTGTCGCTGCTCCTCTCCGGGGACTGCCGTCTAGCGCTGCTGCAGCCGGTAGGAAGTTTTAATGTCAAATTCTTAGAGCAGGCGTTCAGGAAAGAAAGGAACGGGGGAGAAAGAAAGGGGCGAGAAAGAAAGAGGGGGAGCAAGAAAGAGGGGGAGACAGAACGAAGGTTGAGAGCTTCTTAAATGCGCAGAAAAGCGTTGCCTAG